GCCTTGGCAACTAGGCTTACCCAGACACTCTTCATGTCAGGCCTACACAGGGCTTTTTTTTGTCATAGAACGCACCAGAAAGGCGATCCGCCACCTTTTTTCCAATGGATTTTACGAAGTGATTTTGGCGGAGCAGATCAGCAGCAAACATCATTAACATAGTGCCTGCAGGCTGCTATTGTGTCTGCTATCTGCTATCTGATAGTGAGAGATAGCTTCTCTGGAAGCTCTCCTGGCTGCTCGGATTGGGATTGGTGTGTGTGCTTACTGCTGGCGGCAACATGAGTTCCGGCACTTTTTTTTTTTTTTTTTACAAAAAAAAGCATTGGGCCTACAACATCCACGGTGAGGAGCTGTAGGGAGGAAGCCCTTGTGGGCACAGCTTTATGCACAAAGGCAACCATGCATTCTGGGACTCTGATTATGCAGGGTCCTGGACCACTAGGTTGTCTGCAGCCATCCAGGCTTCCTCATGGCTACTGTATTTGCTGTTTGGACAGATATAAGGGGTAGGGAGAGCTATTTGCCAACAGAGACAGATAAGAGGATGGGCATAAGCCAAGAAAGAAACATCAAGGCTGATGCAGCCCTCATTCAACGCACGAGTTTTTGTGTTTGAACAGGGATTAACTCTCTACACTTAAGCCAGGGTTTCTTCCAGTGAACATTGCTGGGAATCATCACTGCAGGTTTTGAAGGATCAACAGTACAGTGTTATTTGGTGGTCATCCAAACCCCTCCATAGCATTCTTTACATAGAATAAGCTAAATCAATTTCAATGAGTATGTTTACTCTTCCAGTCCCTTACACCAACATCCCCAGCTTCCACAATTTTGAGGATATAATGCAGTCTTCTCTAATCTGATAGCTTCCAAATGTTTTGAACGTCAGCACCCAGCATTCCTGAACATCAGCCATGCTGGATGAGGCTGATGGGAGAAAGAAGCCCAAAACATCTGGAGAGCACCAGTCTGACAGAAAGTGCTATTTTTGTAGGAGTGTTTCATTCCCCCCACCCCCATTCAAAGATAGCCTTGAAGCTTGGGCTTAACAGATCCCTTTAGATCCTTTTTGCCAGATAAAATGTCACTCCAGGTTAAAAAGCAGGTGCCACAGGACTGCAGAGAAAAGGAGAGAGAAGTAACCGGTAGAGAGACTGTTTCTTGCAGCCAGGCCTTTGGCATTGCAGTTATTTGAATAGCAGCAGTGAACGCTCACTCCGGGTGCGCGTGAGCCTTCCCTCCGTGCTCGTTCACAGAATGACTTATAGGAACAGGACTTCATGATGCCACCTAGAATAGATACAGAGGCAATGCAAAACATATTACACCATCTATGCTTATCTGCCCACTTATCTTACTAGCTTGGGACATCTAGGCATGCTTCCTCAAACAACTTATGCTTGGCAAAGGCAATGCCCATTCTAAGAAACCGCATATTCGACTTTGTTCTATACAGACACTGTCCTCTTGCTCTTGTATTTTCTTTATTGTAAACAAACCACCAAAGCACATCCTCATGCCTAGTACAAATCTACTTTCCCATAAACTCCATTTAGATGTTATATACTCTTGCACATTTGTCCTCTGGGTGCTTGTAGTAGCAAAAGCACTCTAACTTCAAAGTGGATGTTTGGGGTTAGGGTTAGGACATGACATTTACCCACAATTTGTTGCAAGTCCAGTAGTGGTTTTTTGAAAACAGGGAAAGAAAACCATCCAAGATGCCCAGAAAACTAAGGCTCCTGCATTAAAATGGCCCCCACAAATGGAGAATACGTACTTAAATTTGTATTTGTGAACAATCAAAACTCAGTGACTATATGACTGTATATATACTGTATATATGACGTATATTTCATTTCAGAATGGAAATGCATTCTGTTGACATGGCTAAAGATAAAATGTGGAATGGTTTTCTCTGGCAACACTTTAAGACCTTTGTATCTTTAGAGAGAACAAAGTCCCACAATAAAATGCCCCAAGCGGGCTGGGACATGGTGAGGGCTGCAGGAGTTCTGTCTCAATGTGAGTTGTACCTGCAATTGGTTCTCTTTCCTTGTCACTGTCTTAGTAACAATATTTTCAGAGCCCTCTGTTGTTTGAAATCAACCAGCTCAATTCTTGGGACCTACTGTCATTCTATAAACACTTACTTGACTGTCCTGTTATGATTGCGCAGGCATCTGAGTGCCCAGGACATTGCTCCGATCCTTGTCTGTTACACTCTTCATTGTTTGTACCTACACATGTATAGCATTGCAGTGCGTCGCCTGTCACCAATTAAAAATAGTTGAAGAACTTATTTGCAAAGAGCAACTAAAAATCAACTCTGATCGCAAAAGGTCAAATTATTTACGTTGCATGCAAATTTTGCCAAAGGATCATGGAAAATCTAATAAAGAGTACTTTTATTGGATTTTGGTCACATGAAAGAATACCTATGTGAGAAAACAGATGCAGTCCACAAACATTGCAGCTTTGTTTATATTTATTCTACATGTAAGACCACTGGTAACAACCTTGAAAAATCATTTCAATTTTGGTTCCTAATAAAAGCAAGGCCTGTAGAAAAATGCAGTTTTTCTTTTCTTCATTAGAATGTTGCCAGCCAGGAAGAAAAGAAAAAACTTCTTCCTAATGCTGTAAATTTCTAAATTTCAACAGGAAGCTGAGCATCTTCCCCCCTACCCCATTTGTAGATCTGATTTCTGAGGATCCATAAGGAAAAAAATATTCACCATCCTTGGAGACAAATTTGAAAAGTGTGCAGGTTTCAAATTTCTGTCAGATGGGTCTGGCATGAAAATGGTGGTTGATTTTGGCTACAGATAAGCAACAGGAACATTTCTCTAAAACAAAGTTAACATGCACCTAAAACTTAATATAAGAAATCCAGGTAAAGCTATATGAATCCCAAAGATGTACCAGGAGGCACCAGTGGAATGTACATTTAAAAACTGACCATTACTACAAATAATCTTAAACTGTGCTAAAACCAATTCTGGTGGATCCCCAACAAACCAACAGAATAACGGAAAACTGGAACAATTAAATGCCAAATATTCTAGGTAGGCCAAAACAGAGACAATTCATGAGCAAACTTACTTTGGATGGTGAAAAGAAGGCTGAAGACCAAGCAGGTGAATGGCTTCATCATGGAGAGCCAAGAAATGTATCATTAGACAAAGCAACTGTTTGTCATTAAAGCCTAATGCTTATTCAGCATAGCTAATCCTCTATAGAGGATGATGTGGAGGCTAAGGAGATGTGTAGAATGCTACTTATCTAGTTTTTTTCTGGCTATCCTTTGAGCCAGATGTACCTCTCCAATTCTACAGAATTCTCAAGAAATACTTCTAATAATAATCTAGATAAAAATGTGATTATTTTTAAGATATAAAACATCAATGAATAGAAACTATTTGGCACCAAATGGCAATTTATGGGACTGTAAACAGCCTCTAAATATTTCAGATTAAGAGAGGCCTTAATCCTACAAGGTTCTAAGTCCTCAAACCTTATTTCCACATTCATTCAGTCAGATAAATTAGTTGTTGCTAGTTTATCTATTTTGCCCTTGTCAAAGACCTCCATGGTGAAGAAAACTACTCCAAATTTTAACAGTCAGTGAGTACGCGACTGTTTTCTTTCAAATAAGAGTTCAGTGTCTACTTTCTGTATTATTTCTCTCATGAAGAATTTAAGTTTTAAGTTTACCTCTTTGCTTTCTAAAATTAGTAGGAATGGGCAGCCTAATAATTTTCTATTGCTACCACAGCAACCAACTTTTAAAATAAAAATTTGGTTAAAACCAAGACATTCAAAACACATTATTTAAAACTGCTTAAAATATCCAAGCTAGACATAGCACACATTTACAACAAGAACACAGTGATTAAAGAGGAAGACTATTACACAGGATGCCCTTTGAGGCATCCTGTTGAGTGCAAAAGGGTAGGTGGAAGCACTACAAAGCAACGAAGTCCTCTGTCCATTATGGACAGGGGATGTGGTCCATGTAAGCTGAATAGGTGATGTTGGACTGCAAACTCCATCATTTTACCATTGGTTGTGTGGACTAGGGCTGATGGGGGTTGCAATCCAATAAAACCTGGAGGGCTCACACTTCCTATAAACTGTGTGGGGCATTAACGATTTAACTACATGGATTATGAGGACTGGAGCAGTCTTTCCCAATTATCAAAACCAGTCATCTACTTGTTCTCTAGCAGTGCTTTGAGAAAGGGAGCTCTTGTGCAGTAGCAAATGCTTTGGACTTGAACATGAAATGCTCGGGTTCCAAAGCCTACACATTTATGAAGCTCACACCCAAATAATTACCCACAGAAGCTGCAGAAGAGTATGGTGACTTTACAGCAACAGCAGCCTCACACGTGGCATCAGGGGATTATTTGATTTATAATCCCACCCTTTTTCTTTTCAAAGAACTCAAGAGTGGCTTACTTCCTGCTGCTCTTGACCTTATCCCCACAACCCTGCAAGGTAGTTTGGGCTAAGAGCCTGTGACTGGCCCAAAGTCACACAGCTGGCTCCATGGCTGGATAGGGATTAGAATCCACACGCTTAACTACTACACCACACTGACATTCACTGGATTAGAGTGAAATGGAGTAGTGGTGATACCTAAATTATAAATGACACAATTTTGAAGTTGCTTGTGAAAATGCCCCTACAGAACTCTAAAAGGCAAATAACTGGTAAGACAAGGCCATCTCTAGTAGTGATGTCAGTGAGCACAGAAGATGCAGGGATAGCTATACACAGGTTGCTTCATGGCCAAAAATTTCTGCTGCTGCTTTGTGGAACAAAATCTCTCTCTTGAAGTTATGAAGGGCTTTGACGATACATATCTGACCTTAAATGGGTAGTACCACTCCAACAGAGATCCTGAATCATGCACTAAACTGAAGCAGTAGTTTTTCCAGGTAGGAAGGGATCTTTTATTTACAATAAATAATTGGAGAGGCAGGCACATGGATTTTTCAAGTTTTAATTTTATTTTACAAATCAGCAAATGCAGATCAAATTTACACTCCTTAAGGCAAGAGTCCCCATGCAAGTAATACACATTTATATTAAAACCAAAAAAGACATCCAACATGGGAACTCATGTACAAAGGGAAGGCTAGGATGAGCAACTGTAATTTATTAAAGAACTTGACAAATCTCCCTGATACAGGAACTTTTGATATCAACTTGCTATGAATTATACTAGGAAAAAAATTGCAAACAATAGCAAGGAATTCTGATAGTCTTCTTAGTACTGCATACAATCAAATTAACATTATCAAGAAAGAAAAAAGACAGTAGTGCATACAAAAAAGTGAAAATAGATCCTGTTCACACCTATGTGTGGACACCAGTGTGCCAATGGTCATATTGCACTCAAGGTTGAAATCCAAGATTTTGGTTAAAAGTTAGCTTTTCCCCATTTTGGCAATCAGTTCATCACAAATCTTTGTCAGTTCTTCTATTTCTTTATTCTAAAAAAGGACACATGAAAGGACACAGAAAATATTCATTAGTGCAAACCTAGAGGTTCATTTTGAGTATACCTCATTTTCCTGTCCCAACACAACAAGTAATGAAAAAAGAGCTACAGTTTGAATTGTTGCACCAGTTGGGGGCACGGGGCACAACGCCTTCCCTCGCGGCTGGGCAGGACCAGGGAGCAGTTCTTCCAAATAAATCTTAGCTTTAGAAGCTTCTTGAAACAGGCTCCACACATGTACAGGGCCCATACACGTGATGCACAGAGACCCCAAAGAAGGCGCACAGAAGCAATCAGAGGTAGCAGTGAAACCTCTTCACCTCCTCAAGGGATGTATGTTGATCTGAAGGTGCAGCATCACTCAGCGCCTGTCATAATTACGGATATCACTGCATGCTTTAATCTTTTCTTAAAGATTTGAGTCAGTCCAGAGAGACAATTAGATACAGGAATGTTGAAAACTTTAGCACAATGTGTGAACCCAGCCTGCAACTTTACTGGATTTTATACAAGATGAGCGCTCCACAAATTTCCAAAGATTAACTTTGCTAAGCTCTGAGACTAGAAAATGAGATCCGTGTAGATTAACTAGTTTGAGAATAATACTATATTATTATATATTATATAATACTGGTTGGATCCCAACTTAGTTAAGAGACTTGAAATCAATGGACTTAAAGGTTGTGTTATAATGGATCCAGTCTTAGTGTGGCTAAGTCTGGATTCAACCCTGTCTATGGAATCCAATTCTTATAGTAGCTGTGTGGCGCTACTGTCAACCTCCAGATGGTATACAGTATGTCACATGGACACCACTTTTCATTTGAATCCCAGAGAGAGTAACTCTTCCAGATTTACTGAAATGGTGATCAAATCAGTCTTGTTGCATCATGTGATGCAAGCATCGATGGCACATGCAACAATGCACAGAAAACTTCGTGGTAAGCTCAACTGTGGGGTGTCCAATGATCCAGTAGCAACACAATATTCCCTCTGCAAGGGGATTCATAGACCAATTCACCATGAGTTTATTTAAAACATGTCTACCCCGTCCTTTGCACAAGCCTCAGAACGGCTTACAAAAAGATACCTTTTGTTCCAGTGTTCTTTCCAATGCATCCACTTTCAGCTGCTCTTTACGAAGACTGGCTTGGTAAGCTGCTTGTTCTTGCTGAGCCTTGCCACGGACTTGTGCAATTTCAGCGTTGGCTCTATAGAAACAGATGGCTGTTAGGGCAAGCGCTGAAGAGATATTGTTGGGTGCCTGCAGATAGCACTAAAGTGGGTAGTGGAGTGCTATAATGGGGCAATTTGCTAGCTTGTTACATGTCTTGGAAAGTTGGGCCTGAGAGCTATAAGCTGCTAGGAGAAAATGATATTTCACCCACAAGATCAACAATCATGAAAAATATGCTTTCCACAATCATACCCTGTGAATACTGAATTTGATACTGGATTTAGAGGTGTGCCTTCACAAGATTTTTTTTTTTAAGCAGGTTTTGTGGATGTTGTTCCAAGCCTGTGGCTCTCCAGATGTTACTGCAGTGCAATTCCCAGCAACCCTCATCATTGGCTATGCTGCCTAGTGCCGAATGGGAGCAGCAATCCAAGAACATCCGGAAGGCCACATTTTCCCATTTGCTGGCAATGCCTAGTGAGCCCTTGGATGGAGAAGGGGAGCAAGAAGGGCTGAGTAGGATTCCTGCACATTCAGTGGTGCAGGCAACTCTTGGACTGACACAATCATGCAAAATGGACAAATGTGTGGAAAGTAGGTTAAGGGGCAGAGTCATACATACAGCATGCTTCTTAACAGCCCTGAGGGATTTCAGATGGCAACAAAGACCAAGGAGTGAAGACTGAAATCAGCCTTAACTTCAGCTCCAGGATTTCTCCCAGCCCCTGGTAAAATACCTGTCCAGTTTTTCCTCTGCATGAATTTTAAGAGCATGGTATCTCTGTTCTTCCTTTTTCACTCTTGATAAATATTCTTGTGCACACTTCTTTAATACTTCTTCATTCTTAAGGGAGAGAATAAGAATTAATAGAAGAGCCCCATTGGTGCACTTACAGCAATTTTACATTTCCTGATCAAATTCAGTCTGCTGTTTCGAATGGCATACCACTTTCCTGAAGGTGGAGGAAACAGACAGTTCAACTGGAGTTCAATCTATAGCTAACACAATGTATGCAAGTTGCAGTTCAGACTAGGCATTCACTCCTCTCTCCTCCCTGCCCCTTAACAAAAGCTACTTTCTCCAGAAATTATTTCAGAAAGTTAGCATGTACACCCACACACACTTCTGAGATTACTTTGAAAACTCACTGAATGGATAAAAACTCTCTAGTTGACTTGTTTTGAATCACACAGAAGATATCTTCCAGGAAAATTTCTTTTGTTTCAGGAAGAATAGCCTAAAGTGTTTTCTGATCCAACTCCTGTTGGGGATCGGGTATGCTACTTGCTCAACCAGGAGGGGAGCCTAACTCAGCTCCTATTATCAAACCCTAGCATAGGGTGCCGTTTTGGGATCATAGGACCATTGGGCGATTTGGGAGTCCCAACCTGCTCTGGCCCACTGGTGCAAGGAGGTTATTTATCTCCTTTGACTGGAGCTGAGGGGTGTGCATGGGATTATCCCACTTGTACATCCCTCGAGCTGGGCTTGACCTGGTAACTCCAGTAACCAGGTCAAGCCATGCTTCAGACTACAAGCCTGACAAATGGTCCATACGTGGTTATAACTCCAAGTGTCTCATAAGAAAAAGTGAGACTTTGGTCAATGCACACCAGACATTCCCTCAGCCTCTAGTGTGTTTCCCCTTATTTGAATATAAGAATCAGATATGCACATAAAATGGAGTTGTGTCAAACTAATATGAATATAGAGCCCTGGGACAAGAATTCTGCATGCACACCTTGGTGCACTTGGAACTCTGAATTAAGCCAAAAGCAACGAATGCTTCTTCAACATATCTTACCTTCCTAAACCCTTCAAGAACTTCTTTCATTTTTTCGTATCTTCTAAAGAGATCCGCTAGTGATTTTTCCACAGAGTTCAGGTCCGCTAGTGCTTGCTCTTTTTCTATAAGCAGCTGCTGGACTGTATGATGGGACATTGATTTTTCTCTCTGCTCATCCTCTGTGGGAGACAATTATAGAAAGGACTCTGGTAAGGACACTGAATTTATTTAATTAATACCTTGTCGTGTCCCTTACTTAGGATACTGAACGTTAGGAGAGATCCTGCAAAAGCATGATAGATGGGACATAACACTGCATATCAGTTCTTTTTAGCCAGTGTTCTATTTATTAATTTTGCATAATTTTAGCATATACCTCAATGCTAAACATGAAAGAAAAAGCTTCTGCATGGGAATAACCCTCCCTTCTGCCTGTACTTAAGTCATTGCCAGGCAACTGATTCATTAAATGCAATGCAGTTAAAAATGTTACAAAATTAGGATTCCTTATGATGAAAAATGATCTCACTCTGTCAACATGAGTCAGAAAACATGCACTGGATCAGGCAAACTTAGATCATCTAAGTTTATGAAAGTGGTAAATGCAGTAAATTTATTCTTCCATTTTAAAAAATAACTCCTCAAAATGAAACCAACCAACCAAAGAAAGAACAGAACAATTCTGTACAAATCAATCAGAAGAACATCAGGAAACCTCTGTGGGATGAAGCTAAGGACCTACCTAGCCAGCAACCTTTGCCAGTGTGTTTCCTACAATAGCCAACCAAATAACCATGGGAAGTCAAAACTGGGCATAAGGGTAAATGCCTATTTCCATTGCTGTTCCCCAGGGACTGGTCTTCAGCAGTGTTCTGTTCTTAAGACTGGAGGCAGCATGTAGTCATCATGAATAGGTGCAACTGATTGCCTTATCCTCCGTGAATCAATCTAATCCCCTTTTCATGCCATCACAACATCTTGTCATGGCAAATTCCCTAGTTTAATTATGCACTGTCTGAAGAATTCCTTCTGTTCATCTGTCCAAGTATCCCATTGGATAACTGAACTCTACTATTATAAGAGAGGAGAAAGTCTTCCTATCTACTTTCACTATGTCATGCATAATTCTATATACCTCTATAATGTCCTGCATTACTTGCCTTTTTTCTAAACTGAACAGCCTGAAATATTAGAATCATTAACCTGGCCTGCTTGACGTAACAATACATTGAGGGTAATTAGCCAAGCTGAGTTGTGCTGTCCAAATTCATTGAGTATAATTAGCCATGGTGAGTTGTGCTGTCCAAACTCAAAGAACTTCCTGCAAGGTGGAATATTTTTCAGCAGCATGCCAGCTGGACAACCCATGGCTTGTGCTAAGGGTTGCTAGATACACCATGGGTACTTGTGTCATGTTGAACCCATGCAGAAATTCCATTGTGGGTTTCACGGATCAGCTAGCTGAGCACCTTGCAATGCTAGCAATATCTCCTGCCACTGTTTGCAATCTAGCCCTTGCCATCACTAGTGATAGCCATTTCAGAGATGCCCAAGTGGCATTGTGGAGCCATGGTCACGGGTTTATCACTCTCTTACCTTCTTTCTTTCACCGCAAAAGACGGCACAAATGTGATAATAGTGCTAACCAGTCTTTTGCAAGTGTTGTGGTAACTCATTCATTCTCTTGTAAAGGGTCAAAGCTCCCAACAGGACCATCTACAATCAAAAGTCTGGTAGAAAGGATTGCATGGGGCTGCAGAAGAGACTTCAGAAGAAGGTGGACAGCTATCCTGCTGTCCTAGTTTCTATTTATTAGAGCTGTCCAGTACAAAAGTAGTCTAAATCAGAAAGAGAAAGAGTGGGGCCTTGAAGTTGTCCATCAGCAGTCAGCACGTGGATAACAGTGTGTTTACTGCTGTGCTAAGGTGCATAGCAGTAAACATTTCTGTTTAAATGGTAATTATTTCTAAATATGCAGCTGTACAGATAAATTAGTATGTGCATATTTAGAAAGAATTATCAAGTGTGATGCAAATGGGTGTCCTCTTTTTGGGTGATGAGAAAGTGGCCTATTTCATGGTCTGTTCCACTGGACACCCTTCCTCCACCTGCCACAAGGCCATCTACCATCAACAGACCTGTGGGAAGGATCCCAGGGAAGAGGGGGAGGTAAATTAAGTTACTGCCAAGAAGATCCCCCACAGGGCCACTTCCTCTGTGAGAAGGACCCACTGGGTGTTGATTTGTCAAGGTGACTTCATTATATTGATGTTACTTGTAAGCTGCTTGGAAGAAAGTTCATCCTGAAAGGTGACATATCAATACCCGCAACAAACAAATCATTCAGGCCCCCTGACAAAGTACAAACATATGCCCTTGCCTTCCTCTTCCTCACAGGTTTGCTTGTCTGGGAAGTGATAGAAAACCAGTTGTGTTCTTAACACTGGCATGGGCACCTGTAAAACCAGTATATGTACACCACTAGGATGTAATGTGAGGTAATCCAAACTATACAGTGGTACCTTGGCTCATGAACATAATCCACGAGTCTGGTCACAACCCAAATTGGTCATGAGCCAAGTCAAATTTCCCCATAAGGTTCAATATAAATAAGGTTAATCTGTTCTGTAAATATTTTTTTTTAATCACAGGGAAGATGGGCATGATCGTGGGCACGTGGGGGGTGAGATGGGCGCGATCATGGGCACACCCATGCCAGGGAGACGGGCACGATCATGGGCACACTCGTGTGGGGGAGATGGGCATGATCGCAGGTACGCTCGTGTGGGGGAGACGGGCGCAATTGCGGCTGTGCTCAGGAGGGGACCGTGATTGCGCCTGTCCTCCCTGCAGAAGCATGACCGTGATCGCGGCCATCTCCCCCCCGCCCCCCCAAGTGTGCCTGCGATTGTCACCTGATGTGGAGTTCACAACCTGAGGAAAAAGTTTTCCTAAATTTCTGTTCATGACCAGATTTGGTCATGAACTGAGGTGTTCGTGAGCCAAGGTACCACTGTATGTTGAATCAAAGAATGATATTGCTATTAATACTTTAAACACAATTTAAAATCAGAGATGCTAAATGTCATCTCTTTTCTAATTCTTTCCCGGGAATAAGACCACAAAGTGACACATGGCTTGCTGGTACTGTTAGTTTACTTCTTACAGAGGGCGTACTCAGCCAGTTTCCATCCAAAACACGTGCCTGTTCCCCTCTGAGGTTTCTCATCAAACATCACCTATACGTGCCAGGCCCATAAATGAATGTCCAAAGCTTCAACTTGCACACATACCCCTAAAAAGTGCATTGTCTAGATACAGAGCTAGAATGTGCACCTCTCCCTGTGGGAAGAATGATAGAGTCATCACTTTAGGCATTATAGGAAAACTAAAAAAAAATATGAGGAAATAACTTATCCTCTTCTCAATGTTCCCTCTGATCCCACTCTAAGAAACTACGCCTAGAGATTCAACTCCTGTGTGTAATATATTAAATGTGGAATTTTTTACAACTCAGTCCTAAGCAGGTTTACCTGGAAGTAAGTCCCCACTAAACTGAACAGGACTTGCTCTCAAATGTGAAAGGGAACAGGAATGCAGACTTGGAAGCGTATTTCAGGGAATGTGACAACATCAACAAATTCTGGATAAGGATTATTAAGAAGGTTAGTAAGATATTGAATGTAAAATTGAAGTGGATCCTGAAACAGCTTTGCTGCTAATTTTTACTGAAAAGAAATGGAAATGGAATATCAAAGAATTAATATTACCTGGAGTTTAGTTCTGCAGGAATCCATTTATTTTCCACATGAGATATGGAAGTGATTGAGTAATTAACATAGAATCACTTCCCATAACACTATTAAGCCACCAGAAGCATGTCATATTCATCTACTCTATGCTTAAAAGTTTTTTTTCTGAACATACTATTTATTTAAATTACCACAATTTTTATCTCATTGCGTACTTTAAAAAAAAAGCAGCTAACAGCAATTCAAACTTTTAAATATCCCAAATAATCACAGTATTTACACTATCAAATCTAGGGGAAGGCAGAGAGCGGGAGAGAGAGATTTCTGCTCCTAAATCTTTGTAAGGAGGCCTTTGTTAAATGTGCCAGAAGAAGATTACAGGAGTAGACATCCGGGATGATCTATTCCAAGCTCTCAAGGATTCTCAAGAAAGGTGATTCTAAAATGGGGCCTGAGGGGAGTGTGTGGGGCAAACAACAGAAAACAAGTGGTGGTAGTCAGCAGGGAGTTACTGAACAACTGTCCTAAAAACACAATCTTTTCTATAAACATGTTAATCACGTTATTTATAAGCCACCAGTACATAGAATCTCCATTTTAAAAATTTCAGCAATTTCTTCTACCAGTATCCTTTACAGGATGCCATTCCAAGGTCCCTTTCACACTCATGCGGGGCTGTTGCAACCCCCTTTTGCAAATCAAGTAGAACCAAGGCACATTGAGTCCAACCTGTGTGTTCAGATCAGGAACAGTCATACATCAGGATTTAGAAAAGATTGGTCTCTAATCTTCTTTTGTAATAAGAAAAGCATTACAATATTTCATTGGAATCTGCTGGTGTTTCAACATTGTTTCCCCTGATTTAACTATACATGGACTTTTCCTACCACTGAAGCAATAAATCTTCTTTAAAAACCCACTGCTGAAACTCATTTGTTTTATCAGTGCTTTCTGCCTCTTAACATGTAACATTTCAATTTCTATTTTTTTAAATGGCCTCACATTATTGCCAACTGCACTGCAGTCTTCATGGTTATGTCTTTAATTTTTTCATAAGCAATTCCAAATATCTGATCTCGTGTTGCTCCGCAAACAAAACAAAAGTCTGAGAAATTGTGATGAGCAGCTTTGGACATCATGCCAAAGAGGTGAAAATGGATGCATGAGTGGTGACCTGTGCATCTTTTTCCACATTTCTAGAGTGACATCCAGAACCTCTGCATCTCTCCTACAATGAAGTCAATGAGCCATCCCCACAGCTGAAACTGGCACATCTCACGGTGGAGTATGAAAAACGGCCCATAGGATACGAATGGCAGAGCATAGCATGAGTTCTTCTTTCTCTTAAAATGTGTCTTAAGGTGGCCAAGAAGATCATGTGAAATGGTCCCTGAATAATGCAGCAGTTTCTATCTATACTTTTTGTGACTCATTATTGCCACTGCAAATACTTTGGAACCTGCTGAAACTCAGCTGGTAATGGAATAATACTGTTGCTTACACCTTATTCTTGAGATAAAAAGGGGCAATCAATTCTGCCATCAGAAAGCTGTTAATCTTTTCAAAAAGGATTGGTTATCACCATCTTGTAAGTCCTCTGAGGATACAGCAAATACACAGATAAAAGCAAAAGAAAAGTTGCAATATGCAGGTGCCAAAGTCGGCAAAAGCATTACTTACCAGGCTTGCCTTTGTTTTGGATTTGCAAGCAAAGAACAAGAAGCAACGAAAGTGGAAGCAAAATAGAAAAATCAGGGAATTTATCAAGAAAGCAGAAAAAATGTAAATGCAACAATCTGTAAAGCAGAGAGCACAATATTTAATTTCACAATGGAGGAGCTCAATAGCATAGTAATATTGATTGAATGAATTTGGTTTTGACAGTCAAATGCAGGGATGATAAACTAAGATGTGAATGAATGGTTGAAACAAGGGGCAGTAGGAAACATGAAAGATGGGAGTGCTGTGTATGGAATTTACCCTGACCGATGATCAGTACAAGGGGCCCAAGAAAGCTCACGAAGTCTGAGTTGGCTTTCAGAATAGGTATTCTCTTTTACTTTGCCATATTTTCTGTCAGCTTACACTGATCTAATATGTGTCAAAAACAAAATTGCTGGAATCCAATGCTATTTGGCAATGCAGATGAACATGCAGTAGAGGCAGCGACTGAGGAAAGATGAAGGAATTTCATCATAACAAACAAACAAACAAACGAAGGAAACAGACAACTGAAAGATGCATGCCAAGTGATACACCAAGAGCTACACAAAAATATGGTCCAAAGAAGCACCTGCCTCACAGTCCCACTTAAATCTTTTGAAGGTAGCAGACACTGCACTGACACTGCAGCCGCTGACAAGAGTTGCAGCACTGAATTAAGCACTCAGTAAGATGCTTCTTAAGAGCCTTGGTAGGTCTATTTGACCCAATTCATTATTCTTCTTTCAAAAGGGATTAGTAAACTACATTTAGTTGCTGACTTATGAAGAGCTGCAAGGCTCCCCAAACTATAAGTGGGAAACGATTCTACATGGCTAAGCTGTTTTTCTTATCCATTTCCTGCAAGAATCTAACATCATTTATGTAGCACGTAATCAATATATTTTACACACACTCCCAGACAATCCTGCTGTGTATCTAAACCAGAGAATGGAGGTATGTGCGTGAAGATTAGCTGGGAATGCAAGTATGTGACATTTCCTTTTGCTTAATAACTGGAATGAGAAATTCTGCAGCTGACATATATAGCATCCTGCCATCGGAACTTGTATGCCACCCTAAGTAAACCTTTACAGAAAGAACCAAACAAAGCACAATTCTGAATTGTGAGCATGGATCTTGACAACACTGTGGGATGGGCAACCCAGGCTGTACAAGCCACTTGCTGAAAATCAAAGCCACAACGATGTGCTGGTGTACCTCTGACCTCCATGGGCTATATATGGATGCCTTCCATCATCCTACACTGGCCCTGCTCAGGTAGCTAATACAGAGGGCAAGTGGTGGCAGAACTGATTTCTACAGAGCTTTGTTTTCTCCTATACGTGTGGACAGGGTTGGCCAGTCCTTTTTTCTCTGCAGGCACATGCATCTTCCCTCCAGCACACACTTAAAGTAGTGTGTGATGCTAGTCACATGAAGACTATGTGAGAATGCCAATTTATATGAGTGCATTGTGACATGTAAATCATGTTACCTTGTGGATATGCATGCGCTTGCTTCTATTGTGAGACAGATCTGCCAGCGCCTCAGTCTCCAACAGGATGCTGCTCAAGAACAGCAACAGAAAGTCTTTCTGGGATTTACACTTTTACTGAAGTGCATGGATGTTGATGAGTGCAATCTTATGTACATACGTTTAGAGGTATGTTTCAGGGGACACAGTGAGAAAATTATTTCTGGCTATGCATGCACAGGATTGCACTGTGAAATGATAATCTATGATTACAATGTGGGGCATTTTATCTTAACTTGAGTTTAAAAGAAAGTATGTGGGGGGGGGGCTCTGTATAAATTTAGCTGTGCTGATGGAAAAGTTAAACAGATTCTTGCCAAGATATTCACAAGAAAAACAAGGTGCAGAGGTTTCATATTAGGCAAGACTGAAGATGTGGAGATTAGACTCCCCATTCTAAAGTCACACGAGCAATGGATTGTTCCAGTTGTTAGAAATCCAATTGTCAGCATCAAAGAACATGCAACACCTAAAGAATGGTCTGAATCTATATGATCAAGCACTTCTTCTAAAGTTACATGGCTTTGACCACAAGCAGTGCCTTTTTGGGAGGTCACCTGAGAACATACTCAGGTGCTCTGTGCTCTTTACAGGAACAAGTATAATTAGCAGCTAAAACTAAAAAAGCTTTCTTCGTGATGCACTACATGAAAATGGTGATTTGAAACAGGAAAATCAAGAAGGGAACTGAGGAATACAAAAAGGAAAGGAGGCTAAGCATACATGGTCAGGGTATGCTTCTTTCTATCTATTCAGCTGGGGAAAAGCTAGTCTCCTTTAGGCAATTAAGTGGTCACTTTCCTGTACAGTACCCTTGCCATCGGAATCAGACACACATATGCGGCACACAGTGGAAACTAAGAACAATGCATAATGCTGTGCTGAATGACTTTGACAAAGAAGAAATAGATACAAAGAAAAGGCAGAAAGACATCCATCCACCCATCCATCCATCCATCCATCCATCCATCATCACCACACGCAGAGTATTGCATTGTTAGTATGATCCCGTAAGTCCACAAGATCCAGATTAACACTGGACTTGCCAGATGGCTTTGCAAATACTTTTGCACTTGCAGTGTTTTTTCTATTTGGGGTACATAAAAAGGACCCAAAATTACATAGCCTTTAATACCATGATAAATATTTCAAAATATTTGAATTTATACTTCTTTATGAGACTGCCAATCTTTGGATTCTACATGAGAGAAAGGTAAAAGTTTAATTTTACTACATTTCATGCTGTTGACAGTCCTATCCCAATGGCATTCATTAATAGCTCCTAAGTGTTCATAGGCTATAATTCATGCTTGATTAATACAATTGGCTTAATAGAATTTCTTAAGGTTCTGCTAGAAGGAGGCCCCCAATACTATAACACACTAATGCATTTCAAGCTAGAGGTAGGCAGGCTTATTCCGTTAAGCCAACATGGATTGACAGAGTTTTGCTATTTTGCAATAAGCTGGTGACTATTTGCCAAGTTAGTTTGGAATATACCCCCCCAAAGAAACTTAGTATGTAATGTGATTAGCTTTGAAATACTAATGATGCCTAGACATTCTGAATATCGCCATATTTGATGTATATGTATTTATGAAATATTTATGTAAGTATCTGAATATCCAGCACTGACTTGTGACAATTTTATCTTTGAAAATACTGATTTCCTATCACTTAGAAATGACCCTTTCATCGGTGGCAGCAGACAAATCAGAAAAAATGTTCTGGATTCTTTTGCAGGGTGAAGTTTCCCAATGACTAAGTTACCTTCTTTTCCCTTGCTTTTAATCTGCAATTTCATAAGATGGTTGAATATGAAATGCTAGTTCAGCTCAGCTGTGGTAATTGTGTAGATTTCTTGGGAAGTAAATTCCACTCAGTCCATTAAACCAGCTTGCCAGTGAATGGTCACAGTCCATCTTTGTTAAAAGCTGCTTTGTACATTGTATCACAAACAACTTTTGAAATTCCAAAGACTAAAGTAGTGCCATTATGCAAAGGAGTCAAATGCCGTATTGTGTGCACAGTTATTTGTATTGTGCCCTGGAGAGTGATCAAACAGTCCAGGATCAGGCTGCCAGGTGACAACATTTCAGTGTCTATTAATTTGTAGGTTGGGAGCTGACTAATAAATTATCATTTGAATATTTTCATAGCTGGTCCATGGAGAAGTAATGAACTCACCCATCGGCATTAGTAATGATACTGCAAGCTCTATCATTCTGAGAGCAGTTCTGTGAAATGGTGGAAAAACCATCTAAAATACCTAGGTTGTTTGTAGAAATCAAAGACACATTTTTTTCTGAATGCTTCAGATCTGTTTCATTGGGGTTTTTTTTTAGGAATATTTAGAAGCATCTTTCTCCCTAAGATACCATCATAATTTTGATTGTTTTTACAGTGAAAGCTGAAGACAAGTGCAGCTGAGGTCAGAAGTGGAACTTGTTTAAAATATATGTCTCTTACTATAGTATGAAAAGAGAAATATATCTTTCAGTACAACACCACTTACCTATCATCTGAGCAATTGTCTTCTCATACTCTGAAACGATTTTCCTATAAAGGGGAAGAAAAGAAAAAAACATGTATTTACTAATTACATTTTGTAATGGCATTTCAAAGACTTATTAAATAGTTTCAAATTTTTAACAAGGCAAATATAGCTGAGTTTCATTATTAGGAATGGAATAGAAAATTTAACTGCCAAGATATATTTACCTTATACAAACTTTTAGTCTTACTGCACTTAGAATACTGCGTACAGTTCTAGTTGCCTTACCTGAAAAAGGACATTATTGTATTGAAGAAAGTGCAGGGAAGGGCAACTAAAATGATCAAGGGACTGGAACAACACCCCTATGAGGAACAGCTACAGCAACTGGGACTGCTTAGTTTAGAAAAAAAGCAAGTAAGGAAAGACACAGCAGAGGTGTTTAAAATCATGCACGGTGTGGATAAATTAGAGAGACTGCCATGGGAAGTGGCAACGGCCATCAATTTGGATGGATTTAAAAGATTAAATGAATTCAGGAAGGAGGAGGCTATTATCTTTGCTGCTATGTACAACTTCCTTTACCAGAAGTGGCCTGCCTGCACACACCAGGAGCTGGGGAGCTTGGGCAGGTGGAGATCTTGTATCTGTCTTGCTTGAGGACCCCTGTACACAGCTGATCTGCCACTATGTGAGCAGAGTGCTGGACTGGATGAACCACTGGTCTTATCCAGCATGGCTTTTCATATGTTTTCATATGAATGAAATCCCTGCAAAATGTCCTATCCATGGCAGTCCTGCTCAACATTTCCAAGTTCAAGATTGTGTCTCCTTTTATGGAGTCAATCTATCTCATATTTGGTTTCCCTTTTCTTTTTCCACCTTTGACTTTCCCTTGCATGATTGACTTCTCCAGGGAGCTTGGCCTTCTCATGATGTGCTCACAGTATGGCACTCTCAATTGTCATTTTTGTTTCTAGGGAAAGCTCTGGCCTGGTTTGATCTAAGATCCACTTGTTTTTCTTTCTCCCTCTCCAAGGTATTTGGAAAGCTCTCCTCCAGAATGTTAGAAATGGAGGAAGGGGAAAAACCTGCCGCCTTCTATATCCAATTTTGTATTGGATTAGCTATTGCCTTTTTTTTTTTTTTTGAGAAATCCAAAAATAGTTTCTGATATCATAGCAAATCTATCCATGTTCTAGTTTGAGGAAAGGGCTATAAACTTGTCAAGCAAAATAACAATTTGAAAGCTTCATACTTGCTTTAAAAACCCCCCTCACATCCTAGTTGGAATTTGTTCTCAAAAGGAGACCATCTGGAATAAGCAGATGAAAAGTGATGCAAACAGCTGATCAATGTCGTTCCAGAATGAAATCAGGCTAATAAAATGTGACTAGCTTTGATCCAAAGCATTTGAATAAGTCACAATTTGCAAATGAATATTCAATGTAGCAGGCATGCGCTACCTGACTTTTTAAGAAAACTATGTCTTTTAGACTATATCCCTGAAGGTCATATCCAAGTCTGATGATAAATTTAAGAAATATTTCCTCATAATAGAACAAAGTAACCCTAGTATTTCCCTATTAACAAAAGAATATAAGACCTTTATACAAAGGGTGGTCTGAGATTAAACGAAAATCTTATAAATGTCAAAATAATGCAAAAACTCAACAGCAAAATCCAGGAACCATTTGGTGTAAGCTCCAATGAGAGGCAATTCCTTGAAGGATGGCCATGTGTTTTATAAAACATCAAGATCCACACATCAAGATCTCCCCAGGAGGCCCCTTCTCTCTGAGGTTTGCTAGATACCTACATGGGATAGGATACTTTTATCCTATTTTATCCACTGACATTATGTGACCTAGTTCAGCTTCACTGGTAATTACTGAGGTAGTTTTTAAAATTTCCAAAAGAAGCCAGAGAAACAATTGTCAATTGGCAGAAATGATCCAAAGAGTCCCAAGGTAGAAGTCATTCATAATCCCTTTATTTTTAATCAATAAATGCCACAGATTAACATTGAATGAACTGTTTTTTTCAGTTTTAACTTCTTTTTGGCAGGTAAGTTTTCATATCTCATTCCACTTGCTTCACTTAACAGTCGTGGAGGTAGATTCAGGCCCCAGTTACTCCCACTTAGATAATTATTAGGGTAGGGTCATCATATTTCTCAGTCAACAATGTGTGGAACACGTGGGCATACTCATGCTGCCCTTGATAGATCCGCAGACAAGTTCTCTGGTATGCTTGGTCAGATTCGGTGTGAGTCTTCTGCCACCTACAGCTGCCTTGCTGCCTGGGGGACATCAATGAACAGGGGAGGACATGCCTGGGTATAACTGTGTCAGCTGGTTCATCCACCATTGAAATCATTCTGGCTTGAACTTCCGTAGATCTGTCTTGCCCATCTCTTGCAGTACCCATCATACCATTGTGGAATTCATCCAGATTCTTATATCTTTCATGGTGGCCCAGCCTCATAACCTGGACTTCACCTGTTATTATTGTTGCATACAGAACAGTCACCTCCTTAACTCTGCCCTCTTCTGGCTCTGGTTCCACACACTTTTGGGATACAGATCCTGACAAGTTTCAACTAAGTTAATGCCGATCTCAATAGATAAAGTTCTCTCTGCCCCTGACTAATGACCTGGTCATCACAAAAGTCTAACTTTCAAGACAATAGTAAATGCAGTCTTCCTGGGACTGTTATGAACTTACCTCTAGCTTAAGCATAGTCTGTACATGTGAAATTATTAGTATATTTCTAATTGAATGCAATATTGGCCATTGAAATCAAACACACCTCATTTCTAGGACTTCTCTCCTGCTGTCTTCATATTTCTCTTTCCATTCCGATATCTCTCTTTCCTTAGCCACAATCTGTTAGTAAAGGCAAAATAAGAAGCTTCTATCATTTTATAGACACAACTTTTTTGCCACATCAGCATCATAAATACTGATACTAGGGTAGGACAAAATTATTAAATTAAAATGCATTGGGCCTTCCACTTCTGCAGTTCTAAAACAAGTTAGGCTAAATAAGAATGCTAACTCCATATCCAAGTTTTATGGGATACACTGCAATGTTACAGAAATTAGAACCTGTTGCAGGTGTAGAAGAAAGGGCTGAGCCACAGTTATGCCTTTGTTTGGACTCTATTCTAGCTACTACAACATATATGCTACTGTAGATTACTGACATTTTTCAAAAGTGCATATGACAGTATTTGGAAATTTGTTAAAATCTATGTTCATAACCATTCTACTCCATGTGCAACACTCATACAAGCCTCACCTTAATGTTTCTTGCCAAAAACTGTCTGAAGACTTCAAAGCACAAACTAAATCAATGAAGGCATGTGTTGCATTATCACAACATATGGACTACAAGGCTACGGCAAGGGGCGGCATAGAAATGTTTTAATAAATAAATAAAAATAAATACTGCCTTACAGAGATCCATTACTGCATATCTCAGCTCTGCAAGCTTTTCAGCAAACCAATATTTGACATGAGAAATAGTCCACTCTGCTTAACATTTTTTGTACAAAAGGGGCTGTTTTTCTACTGTATTGATTCCAAGTAGGTACACAACTGAAGCTCCAGCACAAACCTAATGCTAAGTCTTTCTGTCAGACTTAAAGAGTAAAAAATTGGATTAGAAGAATGCCAGGACTTGCTCAACTAGGATTAAGAGCAGTGAGGCAGTGTTCATGCTTAACAGGGGAGAGAATGATCCTTCAACCATTCTTCATCAAACCTACTTAAGAGGTGACTAGCTACTGCTGCCCTACCCCATATCTGTAACTGTCCATAACTGCAAAATCAAAACTTATTCATTTTTATGCACATAGTTTTAAAATTTAGCAAGCAAACCTCAGAGCAATTACATACAGAGTATACTCATAGAAAAGGAGGATTTTCTCATTCGGTGTTGAATTACCTCTTCTCTGGCTACTCTCAATGCAGAATCCAAATCTTGCTGGTGGTAAAGCAAACCTGAGGTATTTTCACCCTCTGAGCTGCCTATCCGGGAGGAGTACAGTGCACTTTTGGGGATGGAAACATCAGCTGAGACTGCAGGGTCTCTCTGTTCATTAAAAAAGAAAAATGGAAGTGACAATTAATAGTGTGTCCAGTAGCATTTCAATTAACTATTTTATGGTGAGTGGGGAAACAAATTAAACAATGAGGAAATGTGGGGTTATGATTTATGACAAATGCAAAGCACTGCATATACTTTTGATGGCAGAATACAGATGGTAACTTAAGTGGAACTGAGGGAGAACTGAAACAGCAACAACAGCATCCGTGCTGAATCCTCTCCTTGTGTGTTTTGACATGTGCTTGTTTCTGATAACGTCCTAGTAATAGTTTACAAGTACCAGTTGTCACATGCAGAGCAATACAAACACTACTGGGCATTCTACTATTTCTCAGTGGAGAATAATCATGTTTAAAAGTACTTCAACATCTAAGCTTGTCTGCCAGCCAGACAAGGTCAGGCAGAGCCTTGTCATAATACCACTAGAGGGAAAAACCATAGTTTATGCCTACCTGTCCATCCAGGTGCTTCAGCCCTGTTCTGTTTATATTCTCTACTACTCATCCAAGATACCACCTGCTCTTACTATCATCCCCTTCATGTTCATGGCAAATAAAATGCAGCAGGGCAAGCCTCACACAGGACACAGTCTATCATCTGCTGAACCATGCACTACTAGCAGCATCAGTTAAAAAAGGCAAGGCAGTGGAAGAGAAGATGCAGTGGAAATTGAATGAAATGCTCTTGCATGTGGAAGTACATTAAAGAAGAGGTGGGGAACATATGGTCATCTAAATGATTTGGCCTACAACTCTCATCAGTCCAAGTCAGCATAACCAATAGTGTAGTCAGATGGGAACTGAACATAAATTGCTCACCTCAGAGTTAGAACCACAAGAAAATACATTGTCCTAACTGTTTTTCTCCCTTTCCTTTGAAGTAGACCAAGACAAAGTCTTTCAAACTAAAAGCATTTATTATCTTAAAGCTGACCAGCTTACTCGGCTTTGTAGTACATGAGAAGAATGTTACAGAAGAACAAAGGAACAAGCAAAATTAGAATACTAGCCACTAGGGAAAAAAAATTAATTACAAAAAGTTGGTTCCAAACTAAATAACTCTCCTTAATTCCAAATTAAAAAGAGCAAACTACATCTTCAAGTCAATTCCTCCTGCTTAAGGGCCAATAGCTTGGAGCATCTAACGCTTTTCAACTGGTCTGTCCTCATAACCTAACACTGTATCATGGGTTAATAATGCTAGATCCACCACACCCCCCACCATCCACACTGGTCCTGCTCAAACACCGAATAGCTCTGTTTGTACAAGATGACAGCCCTCCAAGGATTATTTATGTGGAGCATGCATGGCCACCATTTTGAATAGTCAGTTCTCACTAGAGGGTTGTTGTGCCATACAAAGCCAGTGAGCATAAGATATAGGAGGTTACACAACCCTTGCATAACCCATGGTCTAACCCTCACATAATTCACGTTTGCGGGGGTCATACAACAGAACAGCCACAGAGTAAGAACTACACATGCCATCTGGTACCTGGCTTGTCCTTGGTTAAAGAAATGGCTTGTTTAATTATTATTTATATCCTGCCTTTTTTACTTTCAAAGAACTCAGGGTGGCACACATAATTCTCCTCTCCCTGTCGATCATATCCTTACAACAATCCTGTATGGTAGGTTGAGCTGAGTGTCTGTGAATGGCCCAAAGTCACTCAGCTGGGGTCATGGCCAAGCAGGAACTAGAACCCAGGTCACCTGAATCCCAGTCCCACAATCTTAACCATTATACCACACTGCCTCTTATGCTGCATAAGTCAAGAGCAGAACAGGTTTCACAATAAATGCAGTCAGTCACAAGACCATCAACCACCACTGGCTGAGATGGTCCAAAGATAGCAATCTTTACTACCAGGTTGCTTCAGTGCTCCTACCAGAAGAAGGTGAGATTGCATGGATCTTCCATTTGTCCTATGCTTTCCTATTAAAATCAAGAAATTAAATAGAAGGGTGGCAATATGAGAAATTTCTTACATATTTAAATAAAGGTCATGTAAATTATTTATGTTGTACTGCTTCTGGAATAGGGACCCCAAAATGTAGTATTAATCTTGGTGTCCTGATTTTAACACCATGAATATTGTCTAAACTTTTGCTTAAAAATGTATTTGTTGTTTAAAAAAAGCAATCTACATTTACAGAAACATCCCTAGTACTCCCTGATTTGTCTACACACCCTCCTTTTTCAACATATAGCTAAGAATATGATACATCATGTTATTTCATTAAGACTACTTCACTTTTGGTCTGCCATGTATAATAATGCTGGAGATGAAAAAAAAAAGTAACAGCATTTGGGCAAGGGTTTTTCTCCCTTGTTTTTATTGTACTGGAATTATTTTAAAATAATAATTAAAAAAAAAACTAATGGGCATGATCCAGCAAGTAGGCATGCACATTTCTGAAAATTATTCAAGCACAGGGTAGAAAATATTCTTACTGTTCCATTTATAAAATGTGGGGCAACTGCAAGAGCATCCAATGATAGGCTTCTTCCACTGATTACACAGAGAATTAAGGCCAAGAGTAATAGCACCATTATGTTCACACTTACACTAAGGAGATCAAACTTGTAAGGAAGTAAATCCTGAAGGACAAGTTCCACTGGCTTAGAACCACATAGGTCTAATACAAAGAAAACCTGAATGGATAGCTTATATTATGAAAGAGGTATAAATTTATCATCTCTGCAAAGCTCCATTGAAAGAACTATAACTGAGGAATATTGGCGGGATGCAGATGACTGAAGTGGTAACTTGCCATGGTACACATGTAACCACACTTGTGAGGTGGACATCTATATTGCCCTATAGAGCAGTGAAGAGGATCTATCATTCACCTGCTACTCTAGCTCATTGTTCAGCTGTGGAACTGTGAGAGAATCACCTTCACTACTTAGCAGAAGAATTAAGCTGATTGGCTAACTAAGTGTTTGATTGCAGTAAGTTGCCATATGATCAATTTTCATATGTAATCATCCACTGCCTGTAAGGCAATTTCTTGTTAGAGTTCACAATCCTTTAGTTCTTTTTGATATTGTTCTTATTATCATTTACAGCATTATAGAGCAGTAATCTAAGTGAAGTTCTGTAGGCAAGGATTATAATCACGGGTCACCCCCCCTCAAAAAAACAAACAAACAAACAAACATTTGTGTAGAAACTGCTTTATAAGAACTGCGTTCATTACTCATTGAATAATTTCTTCCTGTCACAAATTTGATTGAAAAGGTTACAGAATAACCATTATTGTGCAACAGGCACTGAAAGATAAACCTTATTTTCATTTCTGCGCCCCTGAAACATGGATACATCAGAAAAGCATCCACCCATTTGTTTTATGTTGAATACAGATTTAACATTCAAAATTTGTTAAACAAAAATTTAATTATCTAGATGTTTTCTTATAAACTACTGATTTTATAATCAGTAATATGTTTAAATTACATATGAGCAGATGTGTTAACATAGCAAAAAATTCACATCATCTGGTGATAATCAGTTATTGCTGTAACAACTGCATCATGCCTTAGACACCTACATTCTCCATTACACGACCAGTTAGAAGGGATGGTTGAAGATTTTGTTTGCCTGCAAGTAAAGTGGTCCTATTTGAACTGTTAGAACTAATGTTTAGACTTGAGAGCAGTTCTGATTTTTTCACTCCCCTGAACTTTGTGAAGCTTTTGGTTTTATGAGTGCATATTTATATGCATTTCATAAAATGCATATAAGATGTGCACCCTTTGTGCATTTTTTAAAAAAAATCAGGTTATTTAATGTGGAAATGGGGTTGTTATATGAAAGCATTCAAATGTGAAATGGAGCAAAAGTGGATTGTTCTGTCCATCCCTACCTGTAAATCAGCAAAGCAGCACACAGCATCAGGGTGTTTCTGCATTCTACTCCAATTAAAGAAGTGGTTTCTCTTATTGAGGTCTTTTAACTTAATCTTCCTTCTCCAGAACAAAAACATAGCCCTGAATCCTGTGCAAATCATTAGCTCAGAACTTTGGTTCATAGCTCTGGTCACTAACATGGCCATCTGTGTGAGCCACATGCTTCAGGAGCCCAACACAAGGTGCTGGCATTCAACTTCTGCCTAAGCTGTAGTTCACTTTTGTTTCTGCTAAAGGCAATAGCTAAAAGCTATTCATTGAAAGAAGCTGGGAATTCCTCCATTATTTTCTCAGGAAACCCTTTTCACATGACCAACTTGCCCTGATACTTCCATATTAAGCAGCAGTATTACCATTGAAAATTAGCAGACTTGCTCCTGGGGTGTACTCTTGATGGTACATATTGTGAATTAATATCATAGTGAATGTGGAAATGGTGCAGGAATGTTCATCTTCTGTATGAAATAACTAAGAAATACATTCAAAAAATCCAGTCTAGTTTCTATCCTGCATCAAACTGGATTCAAGTTGCTGCAAAGTCATCAAGAAATCCTATTATAACTAATCTGCACTTATTCCTTAGCTGTTGTAAGTCACTGTACCTTTCAAAAGATTCACCTTGCTTGTGTTTAGCTGACCTTGGCAACAGTTGCTTAAAGAGGAAGATATGGATACAAATGGATCCATAAGGATATCAGTCCAAACAGTAATCCCAGTAGCTGGGAGGGATTCTACCAGATATCTGATATTTGGATTATTGATTTTTTTTAAAGGATTAGGTATATCAGTACATCAGAACTGTGTCCCAGTTCTTTGTTCTTTCGTCTTGCTGTACTCTCCAAATTCTGTGGTATGTCTTTCTCTTTCTCTAGCACTAACAAGTATGCACTTATGAAGGAATGCTGGATAGGGAAATAGGAGGAAATCCTTTTTACAAAGTGTAATGAACTGACTAATCTCAGTTCCTCTACTGCCAGCCACCCTTCTCACAGCACAAATACAAAATTCCCAATGTTTTCTGAGTTCACAGTCACTAAGTGGCACATATTTTCTTGTTGTAACATCCACTCAAAACTATCCTGTTTTTTTAAGATCCTCTACCTTGTTCTTCTGCTACCAATGACCAAGCTAGACTAAATGTATTCACATTCAATACAACATCTAGATTTACCAGACTTTTCAAATAATATGAGGTCACACATTTCCTTAAAGAAGAAAAAATTAAAAAACTTGCTCACTGGTGTAAATTAAAATAAATCCAGTCCCATTAAGAATCAATGAAAAATGCGTCACTGGCTATCACTCAAGGAGGGTTGCAACCACAACGCTTATTTATTCAGCAGTTGCATTTCAGGCAACATAATTAGGCTGAACAATTAATTAAAAAAGAAAACAAGCACTGAAATCGCTTGCTCACAATAGTTAAAACAGACCAGCAGTGAAAGCTGCTCAGTGTGAAAATACGGTGCTGTGATGTATGCTTTTCAAAAGATACCTAAACCCACCGTGGGATCAGTTCCACAACTAGCCGATCTGACTACTGAAATATAACAAACTAGTTCCAAGATTTTCCCAATTTGGAAGTGACTCCATTTGTGGCAGAATGCTGGCAACATGCCAGTGACACTCAGCAGTTATCAGTGTTTGAAGAGAACTAAAACAAAGACCACCGTTCCTCAAGCAAATCCCCATGAGCTCTGACCTTTATATGATTGCCATTGTAAGGGACCTCTAGAACAGCTGCACACATCAAACACACTACTTAAGAGCTAGTATTTCACTCTGATTTAGACCACATGCATCACAGGGCAGCCTCACACTGACATGGCAACAGCCAGCATGCTGTAGGCATACCAGGAAGGAAATGCTTTAGATCTCAAGAATAAAGAAGGCGTGCGATGGGAGTGCTTTTCCTCTGAGAACTGTGGCAGCCCCCACCCCTCAACTATTTTAGTCCCATCCTTAGAAGCCTGAGATGCGGGTTAACTGAACTTCGTTAAGATGTGTTTAAAATTGCTCTTAAAAGAACAACATATCCATTTATAAAGCATTTTCTAACATGTCACATTTGAACTTTAGTGAGTGTATTGCTAATTGAGACACAATTCAACTTTAATAAACCAAGTCACGTTTCCACCTCAGGCTCACACTTGTTAGCCTACTTGGCTGTGACTAAGTTGTTCATCTCAGATTTAGGCAACTGGTTGGATCCAGGGCTTCATCCCTTCCTTCATCAGCAGGAATCCAGTGGAATTCCACTCATGAAATACCAGTCAGCAGAAAGAGAGTGAGCAAATATTTACAGTTTTCCCCTTCCCTCTGGGGCCTGAAGCACCACCTCCCACATTGCTCTAGAGGGTCTCACAACCCTCCAAGGCAGATTGCGGGGACATGGAGTCTGCAAGGGAAGGGGCAAATTGGCAAGGATGGCCTGTTTTGCCAGGAGAAGCCTTCCAAAAGCAGAAGAATGCCTCCCATCCACAGCAGGATGATTCTGCATGTAAGCCAACTAATTCTTAAATCAGATTTTAAATTGGTTTGGCACCTGTCACTCTATACTCAACCTCTTGAATGAGATGCTGCATTCCATGTAACTTTTGGAACAACAGGATTCTACAGCAAATGCTCCAAATTAGCTGAATTATGGTATTTGCAAGCAAATGCTAACAATTGAAGATATATTTTCTAAGTGCTTACAAAGATGAGGAACCTATAGCCCTCCAAATGTTGTTGGATTCCCAATTCCCATTAGCCCCAGCCAGCAAAAATGATAGCAGTTATAGTGTAACAATACCTGGAGAGTCACCAGCCCTGGTTAACAGAAAATTGCATATAACCCTCTACTTCTCGACACATAGAAGTGAATGCTAATACACATAGAAGTAAATGTGAACATTCACTGGTGCATTACTAACTTTTGGATGTACACAAAATTGGAATTGTCAACTCTTTCACAGGTTATGTTAACCCCTGCCAAATTACGGGTATTACTTATTAACATATATTGGTCCACTCTATTTATTCAGTTACTCTTCTCATTAAAATTTCAGTCTCCAAAATCCGCACTAAGGTACTAAAATAATTTACTGATTAAGCAATCAATTAATTTGTGAAAAGTGAAACAATATTTGAATAACAGAGTGACAGTCAGCCCTTTATCTGTGACCAGATTCCTTGTGGTAGTGCTTTGTGAAAAGTATCTGTAAGTGGAAGCAATAGCATTTGGGATTAGAGAAAGACCGCTGGCATGCTCCTTGATGTATCTCTAAGTAAGAAAGTGCCAAAATATCAAGCATCACCACTCAGAGAAACTTTAACGTATTGTTAAAGGAAAAGCAGCATTTAGATTCCTTAAGCTGTGATCAATCACACACAAATTTCAGGCATATAAGAGATACCTCAGTATCTAAGGAGCTGAAAGAAGACAGGGAAATTTGTCTGGCTAGCTTCAGGGCTTCTATCCTCATTGCAGCAAACTCTAACTCCTCCTGTCAGTGGGATGGTTGGTGATTGTGAGCAATGCACATAAAGAATGCATTCAAACAGTGATGTAAAGATGAAGGTCTACATTCAAAAAATGAATGCTAGATATTGCTCTGTTATGATTACCATTGGGGGACAACACAGACATAATATTGACTCAAGTTCCTTGAAGGACTGAGAGACAAATTACACTTGTGGTTGGGTCCACATTTGGTCATGTTTAGAGTAGACCTATTTAAATACATACAATAGTTATTACTTGGTTCGATTGATTTCAGTGTGTCTACTCTAAGCATAACTAAGCCTGGATCCAATCTATGACATTTAATATGTATTCTGCAGGTACATCTCTGCTATTCCTTAACTGATTATAACAGTTGTGCATGCATGAATTCTTATAAAGATTGTAGCACACCGGGAAGAGTCTTTATCTCTTTTCTTCCCATTACAACCTCCCCCGCCCCGCACACCACCCCAAAAATCACTACTTTCTGTGGCTGGATTCTTAAATAAAATGGATTTTTTTTCTTATGTTCCTAGTTGTACATGCAAGGGGAAGTTTTGAGGCAGTGTAGCTGGGGTGAAAATCATAAATCTCCCCTTTCCCCATACTGCAACCTCATTAAGAATTATCTCCTTAAAGAAAAAACTGAGTTGTTGCTGCAGACTATATATTAAATGCTACATTTAGTTTGTTCCTATAACATTAGCAGGACATATTAGAATGAATTTTAAAGGGTAAAATTGTTAATAAGCATTTAGGTAAATCTTGCTCAAGAAAAATAATGAAGTGAGCCCATGATTTTTGTGAAGTAGTTTGTACCACACTCTTGACATTGACTATATATCACATTTTACTTATATCACTTGTAGTTCAAGCATACTTAACTACTTGAAAAGGGCAAATTATTCCTTTATCCCTGGAAACAAACTCTCACACACTTTAAACTGACCATTTAAGTGCACTGTGTCCAATTACTTATTAAAAAGTTATGCTATAAAATCTACATTCTCAACCATTCATGTAATATAATCCTATGAAAGTTTAGTCAGAAGTAAGTTCTACTATGTTCAATAGGATTTACTCCCAAGTAACTATGCATAGGATTACATCCTTGAAGAATAATTGTCATAAGATTGCCTGTACTTTCTTATCAAAGATTTTGGCTATTACAGATATTCTAAATTGAAAACTATTAGTTGTATTCAATAATTACCTCATTCTGTCCTGGTTTATTTTTAGTTTAATTATGAAATATGCACATAAAAGCAAGACTGAATGCATTTTTAGAACTGTCATCTTTGTGTTATAATTTCATGTCCCTGCAATCTGAACTCAAAAGATACATTAGCAACAGAGTACGGTCTGATCAGTTTATCTCTTCCACTTTCTATGTTTTACTGGGAACATTCAGAAACATGTTGCAGCTTCTTCTTCATAGTCATTTCTATGAAATGGAAATGTTCTGTACACACATATGAATTTCCCACTCTGTGTAATGAGCATTCTTCAAATCAAGCAACTACTATAATTTGTGATCACAGGTCTTTGACACACTGGCTTACCATGCAGTGAGGCACAGAAATTACTATCTTGCCTGTACTCTACCTGTGCTGCATGCAGAACATATGGCAGAGTATACATGTATGCATGATACATCTACCACTACAAAGGAAGTAGACAGATCGCATGAGTCATGATATAAGCATTATGAATTTCATGTATACACCTGTTCCATGCGCTGTTTTCAAAAAGAAAGGAGCAGGTGTCTCTAAGACGATGTGGATCAGCCCTAAGATGATGATCAGGAAACAGGCTGGTTTACCAAGTACAAGTCTTAAATTCTTATTGCATCCTTGGTAAACTTGGGAAAAGGTTAGCGCTGGACTACAGATGTTTCTTCCCTTTCAGACATTCACCTTCTATTGGTGATTACAAATACTGAGGCAAGGAACATTGATAGACTTCCATTACAAACCTGAAGTTTCTGAGCAAATACTGGGGGATTCTTTTCTGCTAAGTCAGGCTCTAGATACTGAAGCTGATCACACACTGAAGGTGGATGAGATATTCTACTGAGAAGAGCATCAGCAGAGACAAAGGGGTCGTCAGATGTGGTCTAAAGAGCAAGGAGGATACAGAAGAAATAACAAACTGGCAGCACGGCTCATGATTAAAATCATCCATCATCCCTATTAAAATGTACACTTAATACCTAAAGAAGTACCAGTTACACATGTACTAAAGATTATCTTCATCCATCAAACCACAAGTGCTCAGGATTTGACAAGAAAAAAGGAGACATTTATTAATAAGTCGAACTTTGTGGCAAGCAGCTCTTGAAGAAACTTTAAAAGAAAGGAATAAAACTTTAAAATTTGTATCAAAATGCTTTAAATGTAATGTGTTTATTCTAGAGGTTACTATGCTCCAGCCCAGTACAGAGGATGCTGAAAAGCTGCTTACTATGTCAATGGTGTTAGAAGCAGTCCCTAAGGCCATGGGCACCAGCTCTTTTGCTTTTGATTTGTCCGAAGCCTGCAGGGATGGTTCCTGGCTAGCAGCCAGGGATCGTGACGCCGGATGCTGTAGCTTCATTCCAGAGGGCAACTGGGTTTCTGTTTCTTCCAAGCTTGACCTGAGGTAAGCCAAAACAGTATGCTTTCAAATGAGGGAAGAGAATGCATAAATCACTAGCCACAATTATTATTTTATTGTGGCTACAGAATACTTTTCATTATCTCCCATTCTAATCTTAAAGGAGGTCAGGTTGCTCACCTGTAACTGTTGTATTTGAGTGGGCATCCCTGCATTTACACATATGGGCTTATGTGCCTGTGCAACATCTAGACTGGGAAAAACTTCGAATTGCTGGGCATGCCGGATTGGGTGGGAGCCGCTCCCCTTCCAGTTTCAGGAGGTATAGAGGAGGGGCCCCCACCCACTCCCTCACCTCCCATGGAGAGCACCTAGACTGAGGGATAGGTGAGGTACCGACCCAGTCTGACCCCAGCATCCAAGGGTAGAGGGAGGATGGTGTTGGGCTGATGACAGCCTGTGGGGCCCAAATGCCCAGAGGACCACTTGAAGAACAACTATTACAGGTAAGGAATCTGCCTTTCTTCTTCATGGTCTCTGTACATCATACATATGGGCAATTAGCAAGCTTGCCCCATGTAGGACAGAGGGAAGCTGTTGTCACTTGAGAATGGAGGCGAGTGCAGTTTTGCTGAAGGTGCAGTCTTCCCTGGCATGGACATCAAGCTGGTGGTTTCTCATGAACAACGGCCAGGTGGCGGCTCTGCAGACATCCCGCAAGGGATCTACAGCCAGGAGAGCTTTGGACGTGGCCTAGGCACACATGGAGTGGGCCTGTGGGTGTGATATGAGGTCCATGAAGGCATTCCATTTGGCCAGGTAGGATTTTCTGGTGGACAGCCTGAGGGCTGCCTCTAGTAGGGTACACACTGCTGGTGGCAGGGTCACAAGCCCATGTGTCACAGTACAGATAGGGCTGCTGCTCTAGGCTCTGGCAGGAAGGCTTTTGCAATTGAATCCAGGCACAGAAGCCTCCCTGGTGTTGGCCCTCCTGGCATTGCGGGCTGTGCTGGCTAGGTTGTCCGAGTCGATGGGGCTTATTCTTGGTAACTGGGAGCTGGGTACCCCTCAAAATCCCACTCCCAATCAATGGGGGTGGGTGGGAAGGTCCCTGGTGCCCCTTGTGTCTGAGCCCAGTGTCACTCTTCATGGCCAGTGTGCATGACCATGAGATAGAGGCAGCAATTTAAGTGCTGGAGTTGAGTTGCAGGTGCAAGTGTCTGAAGGATGGTCCAGCAATTGCTCTGCTGGCTCTCCCACTGGGCCAGTAGGTAGCTCCACAGGTTGTGGCAGGGTTGTTGGGTGGCTGGCAGAGGCCAGGGAGCTGGTGGCAGGGGAGGCCAATGGATGAGGGCTCATGTGGTGCTTCTTTGTTTGCAGCATGGTAGACATTTTCTTTGACTGTTTTGTGGCGTTCACCATGCTATTGACCTTGGAGGTGGAAGGGCAGACCAGGGTCTGTTTGGAAGTGTTGGCCACATAGAGGGCCTTCTTCCATAGCTTACCTTTAAGCCAGTCAGCTTGCTGGCAACAAGTCTGTTTCTTAAATGTTTGGCAATGGATACATGTCTCTAAGATGTGTTCCTTGCTGAGGCAGGAGACACAGGAAGTGGCTATCAGCTGGTGGGAGCTTGGCCTTGCAGGAGACAGATCTATGGAAAGCTGCCAGTGCATTGTGTAGATGGGCTGAGTGGAGAAGGGAATGAGGAAGTGGGAAATAGAGATCTGAGATAGAAAAGTGGGCCAAAACTTATCTCTTTGGGTTTTTTTTTAATCCTGTAAGAGTGAAAACAGGTTGGTAAGAAGCAAGGGTGGTTGAGAGGCATAAAGTGAGGGGGGGGGGAGAGAGAGAGAGAGAAATAAGGCTAAAGTGAGTACTTAGTGGTAGCAGTGGAGAGCAAAGGGCTTTCCAGTCTAGTCTGATGACTGAAAAGGAGCAGAGGCAGTGGGTGGGGACCCCTCCCCACACCTCCCATTAACTGGAAGAAGGGCTCCTACCTGATCCAGCATGCTCAGCTATTTCTTTCCTCTTAAAGGCGTTATACAGGCACACAAGCCCATAAGCGTGATGTATAGAGCGCACAAAAAGACACACTTTAGCATTACTTCGCACACTGATTGCTACTGCTATGCAGTCTGTTGCCCACTTTGCAATCAACATCCAAAGGGGGAACTATCTGAGGCAGGAAAATGCTATGGTTACTTTTCTCACCCAAACTACAAATAGGGAGGGGAAATGCTAGCATGGAAAGTACTTCCATGAGTGTAAATATATAAATGAGTTTTGGGAAAGGATCTTTAAAGAAATTGGTAAAATATAGAATTTAAATGTTGAAGTTGATCCTGGATTAGCATTATTGTCATTATTTAGAGAACAGATGGGACAAAATACTAAAGAACTGATGATAAATTTATTAACAGCAGTAAGATTAATTGGAATTGAAAAATGAAAAGTGAATATCATATAGTGGATTGGTGTAAAGAAGTCTGGAATATAGCTATTAATGATAAGTTAACTTGTGATATTAAATGGAAAAAAGGTTTGATAAATGAAAACAAATTTGAAAGTATTTGGAGACCTTTTATTGAATATGTTTTAATAAAAGGAAAGGGGTGTGAACCACCACAAGAGTCAATGCAGTACTGGAAGGGAAGTGGGGCAACCTGAATGAATAAATGATCTTGCATTAAGTAACTAGAGTTGTTATGCTGTGCAGTGGCACTGGAAGGGTAAGAAACAAACAGAATGGAAACAAGTATTTCTAATTTACTAATGATTACTACACAAGTCTTTACAAATAATTCCTTTTTCATTACAGTGCAGTACCCAGAACAAGGAGTTGTAGAATCTGATAATCGGACTGGAGGACACTTGACCGGACTCTCTTGCTGTGCATCGAACATAAGGTACAGAGATTGCTTTGTCTGAGAACCATCATCCTGCTGTTGAAGGAAAATGAAAAAAATTATAATGCCTCCTCAACTTGAAGAAAGCTGTCAGTCTCCTCAACATCGCTAATGAAATGCTAAATTTCTCTCCCAATATTCAGCTTTATCTTGAAGCAATTACAAAAGACAGTTTGAATTTAATATTTCTCTACATTTAAACAAATGACTAGATCAGTTCTTCTGTGTTAATACTGTATATCACATTTGTGTTCAGAGGGAACAATCTGATACCAGCCAGTAGAAACTTACAGGTATGGAAGAGCCTATCTTCTCCATATATTCTATTTCATATGAGTTGCCATATTCCAACTCTGTAATACATAGGAGAATGTGGTTAGCATGGTGGGGAAAGTATTGGTTAAGACAATACACAAGCTCTGAGGCTTTATACTTGTTATTTGCCCTGGATGCTAGCTTGTATTGGAAAAATTTCCTCTTGTTCTCCTCCAGATGTACACTTTTGGTAAGTTTAATATATTCAATCTACCGTGGGCAGAAAAGTGAGGGAGGTCAAGTGACGCAGCAATACAAAGTTCAGGCTCATCTTAGGGTAGTTATTACTTGATAACAAGTCTGATGCATTTCCACAAAGGAAGAGATGAAGCTGTCTTGTACAGAGTCAGGCCCCTGGGCCTTCTAAGTCTAGTATGTTCAACACTGGCTGGCGGTGCCTCTTCAGAACTTGAAGCATGATGCTTTCCTAGCCCTACCCAATGATGCCAAAGATTGAACTTGGGACCATCAGCATACCAAGCATGTGCTCTGAGCTACAGACCCTTCCAATCATCACTTATTCAAATAATAGGACTGACAGATGGTATATGTATTTGCACTTGAGTATGTATCTCCAGAAGCAGCCCTTGGAAATATATTAATAGGAATTTAAAATAAAACAAAAGTACACCGCTAAGAACAAACTAACGGAAAAGGCTGCTGAAATCACAAAAATTATGAATGTTTAGCAAAGTTACATCTCAGGCAGCAAATTTAAAATCAGGCTAGAACTGAATATTGTGGTAGACTTGGGTCTAGGAAACCCATTTATTTTTAAATAAATAGAACAAGGACCTGATTCACAGTGAACAAGCAGAGGGTGAATGGAAAAGGTGTGCAAATATTACCCTGACCACTGTTCTATTTTTCTTAAGTCACAGTTTTCCTTCTCTAGTATGAGCAATATAAAAGACACAGACACTAGAATTGCTAGGAACTCAAGGCAGTTAAAAAGGTTCTCCATGGCTGAGTAGAGTCTAGAATCCAGACCTCCCACATCCCAGTTCAGCACTATGAACCACTGCAGCACACTGGCTCTCATTAACTGCTATTTTGAAATATGAAAAAACACAAGGTATCTGAGAAGCCCAGATGATATACTATTTTTTCTTAGAAATCTCTCTCTCTCTGATTGCTTGTTTCACCTTACAGAGATGTCCCAACTCTGTAATCAATAAATATGTACAATTAACACCTTTCAATTATTGATGCACACTGACCATTTTTATGCCTCTGCCTTTTAATGGGGCACATACTTAAACTAGACATATAATTAAATGGCTGGCCCTGATCCATGATAAGTTTGGGTATCTTAAAATGGTCAGAATTTCTCCTCAACATCCATTAATTACCACTGGCAAAATCTGTTACAGTGAAAGCACCGATATATTTTTGACTCACAGCTCCAGTTCATATCTGGCATTCCAAGGGTACTGTGTCTTCCATGTTCTCTCTCCAAAGGAGAATGTCCCATATGTTGCTCATATAGAAAGGGACAAATGGCCCTTGCATACGGGCTCTAAATCACATCCTTCAAAGCTTTTACACATGCTATCACCAAAATGTTTTTGTTAAATAAAAAGGCATATTCTTCCATAATTTCATACATATATATTTGTATATGTACATGTGTGCATGTTAATTATGATATTTTAACAGAAAGAAAATGTGTCAGTTTACTCAGCTTCACCACAAAAGAGGAAATGTTTCCTAAATTTTTGATGCCAACACAGAGGTAATTAAAGCTTTAAAGATCTGATGTCAATCTTACCTTTCTGAAGAAATTCATAATTAATAGTAAAACCCAAATAGTTGAAAAAGATTTTTCAGGCTTAAATCAGTTTAAAGTGCAAAACAAAACATGATACTCCAAATATACAAGAATCTCCTTATAGTATTTCATTTCTACATTAACTATTTAAAAAGCAACTTAAGAATAAAAATGTAAAAATTAAAGCTGCTCTAAAACAATTTGTTCTGCTTGCTCAGACCATTTTTAAAAAAGAAATAACATTCTATGGCAGCAGCCTTTTAAAAATTGCCTCAGTTTTTGCTACATACATATATGCATAGGAAACAGGCGGTACATCCATATCCTTGGCAATTACATTTGCTTCATCTATTGCCTTATAGAGACTCACAACTATATACAATTCATAGATTTTGTGTTTGAAGGTTATTAATATTTAACCCCAGTCATTTTCAAATAGAGGTTTGGAATTCCCAATTCAGAACAAAGACAGATGTTACACCCCATCAATAGAATGATCTTTTGTCTCTAGACTGCTAGAGGGTTCACATGTTTAATTATCTTGAGTATCAAGATAAGGAAAATTCCAATGAATTAGCAAAGGAACAACTCAGGGTGACAATTGTTAGTTCAGTATATATAATGCTTAGGTATCGCCTTGTGTTTGTTCCTTTAGTAATAATGAGTGCAAATGAGATTCTCAGAAAATAACCTTTAATTACTCTGATGTTTCCCTTGGCAGCATGAAGAGAAGTCCAGGGGGAAGGTATGATTATATTTAAATGATCTCAACCGAGGAAACATTATTGGTAGTAATTAATAGGTAATCTTACTACCACATGTTACCCAGTAGACATGACAGCCAGGCAGTTAAATATTTAGAGATACTTTAGGTGTCCATCTGTGTTGAGCTTAGATCATCTATTAAATCATTACAACAATCAATCTTCTGACAATGCATCCTTAGAGAAGAACCTCTATACTAACACTTCTCTTACAATGTTTTAAGTTGTGTGTGTCTCATAAAAATTTCGTGCTATCCTAATTTTATTTATTACATTTACATCCTACTTTTCTTTCAAGAGGTTCCATTTACCCACAATTTGCTGTGACATGTGCTAGATACATTCCATAGCCTAGTTAAACAATTCACATTTAACATAGATATTAATTGTAGATTAGCTGTAGGTTGTTTATCCCATGATTAACCTATGGTCTGGGTTTGGACATCATGTAGCAGCAGCTGATTGAGCTAATATTCAAAATATCCATGGAATACATAGGTACTGCAACATACAGTGGGTGAATCAGTCCATGATTTCACACATTTATGTGCAACCTGAGTTTTAGGCTCTATTTAAGAGAGCCAGGTCTGGATAACTTTACTATTAAGGATCAGATTGTTATCAATTAAAAGCAGGAAACATTTTCATGTTGCACTCTCCCTTTCTAGAGAAGTTACCAGGTTTAATCCTTCAAAGTGTTCAGAAGTTAGTTAAAACTGGACTTCCTCTAAAAGGTATATGAGCCATATGTGAAAGACATTGTTTTAAAGCTGTTGATAAATGCATTCCAAGTCCAGTTCTAATACTTTTTTCTGTAGATTAACAATGAAAACAGACACTTACAGTATAGTCTACTATTGTGAACCCTATTGTGAGCAGGGTAGAAATGTAAACCAAAAGAAAGCATAGCTATTTGCTACCTTTTCTGTAATAGGTCAGATATGGTTTTTGTGAAGAATTCAAAGTGATTTAGTGAGCTGATTTCTATAGGCCTTACAAACATATTTTGTTTAGGTTTAACCTATGAGTGTTTCTAAAACTAGGCTTTTATTTTGTCTTCACCATTCTTCATGATAGTTTGCATCTGTTTTAAATGATATAATAATCCTCCAAGTCTTATCATGGGAGTTTATCTGGATAATGGGTAGTGTATGGGAGTTTATCTGGGTAATGGGTAGTGTAGTTGTGGAAATCCACTATACTACAGCACTGCCAAGGGTTTACACCACAAAAAGACAGAGAAGGAGCCACTCACCTGGCCACCTACCCCCAATCTTATCCTATAATTGAATTTAGAAACAGAATCAGTGTCTACAGTGCAATGTGAAAAACCCTGTCTAGAAACAACCTGTATGGTCTCTTAATTCAGGTGACATTGGGTAAGACTGGAGACAACCCTCCAATCCAAAATCTATTATCATTCAGGAATGTTTTTTTTAACTGTTCAAGGTACAGTTTATAAGACTACATATGATTTTCTATAAAGAACAACAGTCACTGATACTGAAAAGAAGGATACGGTAAGTAAACTGTAAAACATTCACTGAATACATCACCACAGTAAAAGCAAGGCAAGGACAAGAAATATTAGAAGTTACCTTTTGTTCTCATTCACATTCCAAATATGTTAAACATTCATTGGGAAAATGAACTGAGTATGCACCCACTTAAAGATAACAGAAATTCCCCATGCTTTTACAGTCAATAACTATGCATTCATTGTGATCATATGATTCACATCTGCAGGTGAAAGTTTGCAAGTTAACTGCTCTCCCACATAAACAAAAAGAACATAAAGCAAACTTGGACTTAGAGCAGAATATCAGGGAGAGGCCTTGGTGTAAATCTCCTTCTGGTATTACTCTTCTAAGGACAGTCCTTAATATTTGTCTGACAACTGGGACTTACTGTAAAAGCAGAAGCTAAAAAATCTAAGAACAGCGCAGTTTAATATAACAGTAAGATCCAGAGCAGCTCTAATGTGGTAAGTTCAACAGTGACTATGTACAAAAATCTGTTTCATAAAATATTTATTAAAGCCATCACAATTTACAAACTGATCACTATTGACTTCAACTATTTACTGGATCACCTCCAAGCAGCCTTTGCTGGAAGGTTGTGTAGGGCATATAAAATGCTTAAAGTAACTGAGACAGTGTATTCAATTGTTATATTTTTGTATATAAAATATATATAACCATACTTTATAATATTTCCAGTATTATACCGAGAGACAAAATTAAACAGGGCCTTTCAAGTTATGGCTGATTAGCAAAGGAAATCAATTGTTCCCACATCTCTCTATACCTACTTGCATTTCCCATGCTAGGTAAAACCTTGATTGCACTCTCCTCACCCAGCTTATTACCTTCTGTAGGAGATATGAACTTGGTTTCATTTACAAAAGTTGACAGATCCGATGGCTGAGGATAATCTTGTTTATCTGCATCTAGGTCCACTGTCATACAAGTCCATTTCTGGTTGCCCACTGAGGATGCCAGTTTTTCCTCATCTGTTGCATGAACCACAGTGGATACAACAGAGGGTGTTTCAGCAGTAGGCAGTGGCGTGGACTCCTGAGAGGAAAATAAATCTGAAATAACTATTGTGTTGTAAAGAAAGAATCTATTGTCTCCTAGATCCCTTCTATTTTCTTCTTTCTTTTTAACTCCATTTTAACGTTCCTTTTACCCTAAGGGAAATGAATGGAACTTGCTCTTTATTGGAAGATAATTTCCACGATCAACACACTGATACTAATAGGTGAGATAATGTGGTGCATTGTTTGTTTTTGTGGAAAATCCTACTATTTTAGAATTCATCTGTACACAGACTCTCTGAAGGAGCACTTCTTTATCTTGGCTCATGTGTACCCAACCTATTTGGACCTGTGGACACATTTGGGTATTTGAGAAACTGTCACAAAGTGGCTGCCAAGGTGGATATGATTGTTTACAAAAGAGCTGCTTTGGAATCTGGCTAGTCAAGTGGTATCTAGTCAATAGCAAGGCTAGAGGTGGGGAAGGGAAAGAAAAATTGAATTGAAGGAGTTGCTTCCTAGTTAGTCCAACTGTATTGTATCCATACACACCTCTCTCTGTTGCAGCTTCCAAACTCAGAACACTTTAAAGAAAGCAGTATGGTAGTTGCATATTACAGAATGCAGCTGAATCTGCTCCGTGTGGTGCAACAAATAATATCAGGGCATTCGGTGTTGCCACTGAAAGGCATCACAAGTGGCACAGTACCTGCCTTTTGAAGCAGTTTGCATTACAACCGGCCACATTCCCACTATTGAGGTCCTTTCTCAATAGAAGAAACCAGACTAGACTTAATTGTTATTGAGGCCTTGAACAAACTTTGGAAGACTAGAAATCCCAAGGTCCATATCTTCCAAAACACTCACTGAACTGGACCTCAGTTTACCTGATGTAGTTTCCAAATGCTACTTCTTGCTCAGAAAATATGGTTTAAAGTCACCTGTTCTCTATCTCATAAGATTATTGACAATAGTACCAAACGTGGAAAGATCAGTCTCAACTGTCTTTCTGAATGAATGTGTTTTATCTGACTAGAGTAACACCTACCTAGCCTCTAGAGAAAAAGTTACTTGACTACTCATCCAAGCAAGCCAATTTGTAATCCATTTAAAAATGCCTCTCCTGCACCGTTAAGTTCACAGAGTTTTTAATGTCAAGTTTTAATATGTTCAAGTTGCATCAAATTGTATTAATATCAATTACATTGTGACATAATTTAATTTCTTTGTCATTTTTTGTTTTTAACACTCATACTCGAAGAACATAAGCTTGGATTAAAGGCTTTGAACATGTTCTGACATTTAGTTGTCAAAAGATAAACTCAAAATACCTGAGATAAAATATTACTGTCAGTGACCTTGTTAGTAGCTCCTGGTTACTAATACTGTTCAAGAATTACAAAAGAAAATTCCTTGATAATCATAAGAGGGGATCTTTAACTGAGACATAGTGTTGTACAGTGGTTAGGACTAGGAGTCAGGAGATCCGGGTTCTAGTCCCCAGTCTCAGTGGCTATGGGCTAATCAATGACTCTCAGCCTAACCTGCCCTACAGGTAAGAGGAAGAGGATGTATGTCACCTTAGGCTCTTTGAAGGAAAGGCGGAATATACATTCCACCTTTCAAAGTAACAAACAAACAGTTTCTGGACCAATATAAGAAAAAAGGAGCAACTGTTCAAATGAAAAGCACATCAGAACCCTACCTGTGAAGGTGCATCAGACAATGGAGATCTTTTTGGTGACTTTTTCACCCTAAAAGTATCACTGGAAAAAAAGTGAAAACAGTGAGAATAGCAGGCCATGGAAGACTATAGGTGCACAACACCAACCAGGTAAACAAAATGTGACCATGGAAATCATCCCAGCTTCAGGAAGTTCCATTAAGCAAGCACCATAGAAAAGCATGCTATGACTTTTGCATCATGCACTTTTGGACGGAATTTTAGCAGCAGCAGCAGCAAAAGGCCAAACATAATACACTAAGTATGAGAATTGAATTAAATGGTGGTATTAGATAGGAAGCAACAGTCAGTCCAGAGAATGAAAAACAGTTTGTTTATTTTGCAACCAAGAAAAAAAACCCTTAAAATAAGTCAAATTTAGTCCATTTCAGCCAAATTTTGTTCCATAAAGCATCAATGGGAACAGGAACCCTAAAAACAGATAGATTTCACTAAGGACATTATTAAGTGGTTAGGATTTGGCTACAGAGCAATACTGCAATCTGGTCCATCACTCACCATCTGATCAAACAGCAGGAATATCCACCTACGTAAATCTTTCACCACAAAGCTACAAGGGACTTCAGTAATCACATAGCCCAGCATACTGCACCAGGAAGCCGACACCTAGACCTATCCTGAAAGATGCCTATCATCTATGTAGGACTTGTATTCAGAATGCTTTCTGCATTCTTTAATTTTGTTCTCAGAGCAACTCTGTAAGGCAGGTCCATTTTATTCTTACCCAACAGACAAGGAAATTGAGACCACAAAATTCTGATTCAAGCAAGTCCACACTACTTGGTGATAGCAGAAATGGATGGTTATATTCAAGGTTATATTCCAAGGCCAACTGTTGGGCCACACTGAATGTAGTGAAAATGTACTTTTACAGCCATTTTTTTTACAAGTATCAACACTTAAAGCAACTAATTGTAGTAAAATATATAAGTTACTTTCTGAAATAATATGTAATGTCAACCTAAAGCAGCTCTGACTTCCCATCAGCAGGTTATACACACATATTCCAAAAGTACTAAGGAATTTGAACATGACACACCTAGGCAGAAGTAAGCCTTTCACAGAAAGACTGTCCTCTAGATATATCTGCAAGACAGTTTGCGCAACAAGAAGAGAAAAGAATCCAAATGACGTAAGAGCTAAGGGAACATCACTGAAACATGATGCCATCGGTTTTCAACTCATCAGCTATGCCCCAGATAATTTACAGGTGAGCTAACAATAGAGCTGTTTTCAGCTTAAACAGGAAAAAATCCAAATCTCACCCAGCTATGCATTGGTTATTAAAAAATATTCCATACTTCCAAATACAGAAAGAAACACACTCTCCCTCTTTGTAAGACTAAGGCTATTTCTAAAAAGTAACAGAAACTGTGTAGCTAAAACAAAGTGTGAGAGATGGCTGACTGCAGGGGTGGCTGAGAGGCAAAGAATGGATATGTCACCCTATTGGCAATCTGTTTGCTATAGAACAAATAAAATACTAAGATGTAAACTGGGACATAAAATTAATATATGGATGTATCTAATAGAAATAATGGTTTTGTTCAAGCGTATCCACAGACATGCAGTTTCTTTTAATATAACAAATTTGGTATAAGACATCAACATAATTTTACTGATATACAAAGCACCATGCCCAGCAGAGCTGGAGGAAACTTCCTGCCAAAAATAACAGAGAACAAAAAGAACAAAGAATTTCTGACCAAACAAGTATTTTTAGGGTTAAAATTACTTACAACAGAGAACATACAGACATCACATCTTCAACCATCCTAAGACAAATAAGACAAAAGAGAGAGACAGACAGAAGGAACTGACTGACACAAAGGAGACACGCCATTAATTGCAGTAATGAAAAACCCTCTTATGGTGCTTCTGCTTTAGGAAGTCCACATCTTTCTAATACACCAGAAACAATCCTGAAAAAAATGTCCACAGTGGTAACCATGTTAGGGTTTTATCCAATGATGTCTTTCTACGAACACAAATGACGTGGTAGTGGAAACCTACTTCAGAATTAGCCTGAGCAGAAAATACAGCTGATGTTCCATTTGTGCAACAAAATATGAAAACACGTGGAGATCTTAGGTCTGCAAATGGTCCCTTGCACAATGGGGAAAGGCATTGGAACTCCACTAGCAGAGCAGTTAATGGCACTCTTGATGTAGCACAATCTGTTACTGCAAAACCAGAAAGGAGTTAAGATAAATTTATTATGGCATAAACTTTCGGGGACTATGGTCCACTTCATCAGCATTCCAATGCCCCACTGAAATCAACTAACCTAAAACACACTGTTAAATGCTTTGCTCATGGCTTTTGCCCATGGTTTTTATTTGCGAGTAGGGTGAAGAATCAGAAAAATTGAGGTTCTAAAAAAGTAATTTTCCCTCCCTTCCTATCTATTTTCAGTCTTTTGCTGCATATTTAAATACCATCCACGGAACAACTTTTCATTTTTGTGATAGTAGCCATTAGTTTTGTCGTGGCTTAGGTTAGCACACAGTAGGCTAAGTCCATTCAAGGAAAGCACCGTAGAAACAACAAAGCTGTAGAAGAAACAAACTACTGTAACTTACTGGGGCTGACTCATAGGCCTAAGTATATTTTATATGCAGACACATAAGTTTCCATTAACATCTGTTAATCAGTGCATGAAATGGGACAGGCAGGAGCAGAGGTGAAGTGTCCAGCCTTCACTTTGTGAAGCTGTTTTGCTTAAGGCAACATCGGTCCTTTTTGACTTGCAGGGAATATTTTGAGCAGAAAAAATATTTTAAGGGGAAAAGGTTAAGCAAGCAGAAACCTCTCTCCATCACTGGTACTCAATTTAGAATTGTAGACTCCTATATATGCTTTTCCCTTTGGTCAATTAACAGAAAGTTACACACAACTGAAAGTTACATGCATATATGTATGCTAAAAGCTCTTAACTATACATGCAAACACACGTACAAACACACTGTGTGTGTACATAAAAGAAGCCTTCTCAATTTTCACAATTTGGGAAGATTTTGGATATTGACAACTCCATAGATATTTTAAAATTATAATTTCTGTACTCCCCTCCATCTGTTTATATAACAAAAGGTGTGAACATATTTTTATCCCCTTCAGCACTTGTCAGTTTAAATGCCATCTCTCTTGTGCAGGGTGACTTTGAAGCTGACAACCCTCACATCAAACCATAGCTCTTTTGAGAGGCTTTCCTGCTATCAAACAACTTGCTGACATAGAGTTCTAAAATGGGCCACTAGTTTAATAGCGAGGGCAGCACCAATGCTATATAGTTGCTATAAATGTTTCTTGAATAACTTGTGTACCAAAACCTGCTAAATATTTAAACTGGAAAGCTATGTCTCCCAAACAGCAATCTGTTAATTCCCATTTTTGTCTTTTAATAATTAAAATTAAAGCATTGTTTGCTTGAATTTGTTCATGCAGAGATGTCAGTGACTTCAATCTTAAGTCGCTTTGCCAAAATCAATTGAATAGTGAGAACCACCACCATTGTCTTTTCTTGTCAGACTAAGTAGAACAAAATTCCCTACTGAAATTGAATTACCATTATTATTATTTACATTGGATTTATATTCTGCTTTTTTTCTTTTGTGAGGAACCCAAGGCAGCTTACACAGAGCCAGTTTATTCTCAGAACACCAGTCCTGTGAAGTAGGTTAGGCTGAGACTGAGTGATGGGCCCACAGTCACCTAGTTAACTTCACAGCTGAGTGGGGAGTAGAATCCAGTGCTCCCAGGGTCCCAGTCAAACCCTTTAACCCACTGCACCACAATGGCTCTCTTTACAGAAAAGTCTTACTGGTTTAAAAACCCTTAATATTGTCATCAGTCTTAATCCAGTTAATTGACATACATAGTTTAATGCTAGGAATATTAAACTGTCACAATACTGTATGTCATCATAGCCTTCAGTTCAATTAAATGCACCTCAGTGGACTACCATAAACAGAAAATTCTACTTGACTCATTTTTGGCAAAGGCAGCACCAAGCCTCTTAGTTGCTCTGGCAGGCTGGTCCATATACAAAGCTTTTAGATGGAATGGGGAAGGACCAGGTGGAGGTAGCTTCAGAGATAATGACCTGGGTCATTCTGACCTATTGCTGAATAGAGGCATCTACGGTTGATTTCCCTGTCATCATCCCCTGCCCCTCCTTCTGCCAGATCTCAGAGTGGGTATTGGGTGTATCTAACCAAGATCCTTGAGGTTATCTTTTAAGACCCTAGAAGATTCAAGGAATGATATGTTTCCTATTATGTTTATTAAGGAAACATAATAGCTATCCAACTATACTCAAGGAGCGCTTACATCCATATTTGCCCAGCCGCCTCCTGAGATCGGCGGGAGAGGCCCTTCTCCGGGAGCCCTCCGTGAGAGAAATTAGGAGGGTGGCTACTTGGAGAAGGGCTTTCTCAGCGGTGGTGCCTAAGTTATGGAATGCGCTCCCCAGAGAGGTCCGCCTGGCGCCGTCGTTGTTTTTCGGCGCCAGGCTAAGACCTTTTTATTTAAGCAACATTTTAAATGCTAAATACAATTGAATTTTATCTGGCCAGGGCGGCTTATTTTATAATGTGTGTTTTAATTAAGATTATTTTATATGGATATTTTAACTTATTGTTTTATCTATGTTGTAAGCCGCCCCAAGGCTTCGGCGAATGGGGCGGCATAAAATGTTTTAATAAATAAATAAACAAACAACTAAATAAATAATGTGGGCGTAAAACTTGGGGCAGGCAAAGTATTAAAAAAAAAAGCTTCTGATTGCTTTCTGATGTTTTCCAGGGAAAACAACAGGTTGCTTTCAAAATTGTTGGACACCCCAACACTGTTTATGTATAAAAATATTTTTAAACTGCCATTCATCCTTATGACTATCAGAATGATGCACAATAAAACGTAGTAAAATCAGTTAAAGAGTATATTCCTAAGAAAAATGACAAATAACACCCTCCCCGCTGGACAAACCAACCACTAGTTGTGGTGTGGCCAATGTCTAGGGCAGGAGATTTGGTTTGTCTGAAGGTATAATGTAACACTGAAGAAAGAGTAAAAAACATGACCTAAAATATATCCATCAATTTTGCCTGCTTACATGCGTAAAATGGCTTATATTTAATATCTCCATGTCACAAAATTTCTGGCAAACAAGTAGACAATTACAGACTTCTTAGACTTTATCAGATACAAATCAGCTCCATTCTTCACAACACTCTTAAGGTTGTACTCTTAATTTTACCATGGCAGTATTTGCATGTAGTGATGAACCAGAATGAATATGTTTTAATTTTTCACGGGTGGCATACTGTTAACCTGGAAGCCAACCTTAGCTTTTGTTTCATAATTAGTTTTGGTTACTTCTGCCATTTCCAATGTTGGAGAGGTCAAGTCATCAAAACTGAGGAGGAAACAAAAGTTTAGCATAACTTCCAATTATGGCCTTGTTTTGGAATTCAGGCTTATTGTTACATGCAAACAAGATTAATTTCTAGTTCACATTTATGTCAGTGTGGTGTACTGAGTTTTAGACTGAGACTCAGGGGATCTGGGTTCTGCTCCCCACTAAGCCATGGAGTTCACTACATGGCTGTGAACTAGTCACAGACTCTCAGCTTAACCTCCCTCAAATGGTTGTTGTGAGAATAAAAAGAGGACCTTGTTAACCAGCCCTAGGCTCCTAGCAAGAGGAAGGAAGATGGGATATAAAGACAAAGAATACTTAAGGGTATCATAAGAGCTGATGATTGGTTTAGCGAGGCAACCAAAATTTAATCTTACTCCCTATACAAGTAATTTAATTTTTTAAAAATATATATATATTATTGTATTTTAGTATGTGTATTGTACAATAAGGGATGTGGTGGTGCAGTGAGTTAAACTGATGAGCTGCTGTGCTGGTTGATCGAAAGGTTGACAGTTCAAATCTGCACACGGGGAGAGATCCCATTGATCCGTCCCAGCTCCTGCCAACCTTACAGTTTGAAAGCACGCAAATGCAAGTAGATAAAAAGGTACCACTTCAATGGGCAGGTAACAGCACTCTGTGCACTTCGGTGTTTAGTCATGACGGCCACATGACCACGGAAACTGTCTGTGGACAAACGCTGGCTCCCTTGGCTAGGAAATGGAGATGAGCACCACCCTCATCACAGACCAAGAGTCAGACATGACTGAACTTTAATGTCATGGGGAAACCTTTACCTTTTTTATTGTACAAATATTTGTATTTTATATCTTATGGACTGTTGTAAATTGCCCAGAGAGCTTCAGCTGCAGGGCAGTATAGAAATGAAATAATAATAAGCAAGTATGGATATGAAGTAAAGCTGTTCAATTCACTATGAAACTCTCCAAAAGCTTCTGGCTCTATGTGTAGCACACCACATTTTGAAACAGTAGGTGTCACAAGAAGGCAGTGTGAATATTTGCCTCCAAGAACACCTGGCTTACAGGTGCATCCTGCAGGCCTGCAGGATAATATGGGATAGCAGAAATTGATAGTGAGCAGCACACTACCTGCAGACCTTACAAAGCAAGTGTACTTAGACTCTTCTTGCCAAAGACATTGTAATATAAAAGTAATAATAAAAACACAACCTACAGTTTCATATTTCATTAATACAGGTAGAAGACTGTTTCCAACAACCATGTTCTCAGTGAAATGTCCAGGCAGCAAGCCTCCAAGTCACTCACTCAAGAGCAGTCCTACTTAAACAAAGATGTAAACCAGAAAAACAAAACATTCCACAGCATTTGCGGCTTCTTGATTATATGATACATGCCTCACAAGACGCAAGCTGCTGCAATGAACTGAGCAACACTGGAGAAAGTCACCTCTGCTTGTGTGAATAGCTCTCTTCCTTTAAACTCTGTATAACTTGTATCCTCATGACTAAAGCTTTGCAAATAAGACTCTAATCCTGAAAACAGCTCTTCTTATTCAGCTGAACTTACTGAGTTGACCAGCTGTATCAAATATACTTTCACATGCAATCTCTAAGAAAATATTTACATTTTATTTTAAAAAAATATCTCAAGGCCAGTAATCATTATGATAGAAGGCCACACATTTTCTCAGTTGAATTTCTTAAGTAACTAATATCTCATTTTAAATTCTTGGTTATGGTGCTCCTTATTCATTTGGGCAGAAGCGATTTCTGCCAAACACTTTCAGTCTCACTTGATGCAACCACAACAGAAGATCTGAACTGATTTCTGCAGTGGGAGGAACATCAACAAAACAAAAATCAGCAAAACAAAAATTCACATTATAAATGACAAAAGATAAAAAGCAGCTGAGTTGCTAGGCTTATCAAAGCCAAAAAGGAAAGGCTATTAAGGTATGTGGAACTTTCATATGCTTCTCAAATTGCAGGAGAAGAATGCGCTGCCGTGATCTTGCATTCTATTTGTAATACAACAACAATACTGCTTAAATATATGAAGCTGTGCAAACACCATTATTTGAGGAAACTATATACAGTGCATGAGGTTTTGCACTTTGACTTACGTCTTGAGTGGTGTCTTCTTCTTTTTTGCAGGTTTATTTAGGCCATCTCCTTCAGTCCCATTGATTTCGCTGGCATTTGCTGGTATCTCAAAGGAGGCTGGAGATTTCGTGGGAGAGCTGGCTACCTTTGAAGAAGGCTTGAAAGGATCAATAGCATCCTCATGCATGTCTGGATCAAAACTGTACATTGTTGTCTGTGAAGGCAATTTAGGAGAATCCTGCATTTTGCAAGTGGAAGAAAAAGGGTTGAAGTCAGGGTCGTCCCATTTGTCAATATCAAAAGTATAAGAGCCTTTGGGAACAGGAATGTCACTTGGATCAGCGGGAGCCTTAGTTGGGGTGGCAGGAGCATTGTCAAGCTTCTCCCCAGTCTTTTTTGTCTTTGGCCTCCTGAGGGGCATTTTGGCACCAGGCTTTTTGCCCACTTTTTTGGGCAGAGAGGGGCTTCCCTGCTGCTCCTCACCACTGCCTTTTTCCTCAGAATAATCAAATTCCAACCTCACCGCTAACCCTTTCACCGGAGGCTCTTCTGGACCCCCAGTGTCTGAGGGTGCCACCTCTACGGCTTCTGGTGCCGTCGTAACAGGAAGGACTTTCTTGCTGGCAGGGGGAGAATTCTGAACTCTAGCACCAGATGTATTAATCTCCTCAAGGTTATTTGGGTCAAGTGGGTAGGCTGCTGATGGATGAGGAGGGACCCCCTGTTTTTTAGCAGCACTTTGGGGAGTCCCCGTACACTCAGACTCAGGGGGTTCCAACCTCTCTTCAGACACTTTTTCTTCACTTGAGGCAGCAGAATCTTGTTTTATGTCAGGTGGTCCTGGCTCTTTCACTGGTGGAACTTCCAGAGATTTTTTGGCTACCTGTTTTTTCTTTAAGGAAGCTGGCCTAGGTTTCTTTGTGCGCTTAAGAGTGCTAGAAGCACTGCTTGAACCAGTACCAAATGTATCTGTTGATGAACCTGCTGTCTCGTTATTCCCAAGAAAAGATGTTCCATCAAAATCACCAGCTTGCAAACTAAGGGACCGAGACAAAGTAGATCTGGAAATTGGAACAGAATCTGTGGATTTTCTTCGAACATGCGACTTGGAGTCACGACTTCTTGTGTCCAGAGAGCTAGAATCTGTAACTTGTATGGAATCTACAACATCAATATTGTCAAAGTCTAAGTTGTAAGTCCCACTGCTAGCGATGGGCTTGTCTTCATCAAAAACAGTAGAAACTGAGTGGGAAGGAGGGTGAAATGGGCTTCCTTCCACCGATTCACTATGTGAAACATCAGTTATTGATATGGTGTCAGAACAAAATCCTATGAAAGCAAAGGAGAAAGTAATCAATCTGGAAAGTCCAACTTAAAATAGCTCCTAAGAACTTGTAGAGAATGATTAAGTACAGTTATGTTTACTTATAAAATGCCTATTCCTTTGTGAACTTAAAAATCCTGAATATAATTCTTTCCTTTGCAATGGGTATTGCATACTAAAGCTGATAATACTGTGCTAGCATAAATCAGTGCTACACAATGTCATTGGCACTTGCTACTGGAAAAGGAAAAGGCAACAATGGTGAATTTTGGCAGCAAACTACTTTTTCCTTTTACAAGTGTGGATGATGTTGCACTGTTGCTGATTTATACCGGTGCTGTATATTAGAACTAGCATTATGATGCCATTGGATTGGGAATTGGCAAAGAAAAGGGCCTTCTCTGTCATCACACCTCACATTTGGAATTCCTTTCCAAGGAAAGGTGTGACTGGCACCCACTTTACTTAGTTTCTGTTGCCAAGTTAAGACTTTTTATTTAATATCTGTTTTTAGATTATGATTATTGATCTTGCTGGTATATTGTTTTATTAGCTTGTAGTTTTACTGTTTATATTGTGTTTATCCTCCTCTTGTATTTATATTGAATTTTTACTCTTATATTTTACGGTTTTAGGTATTATTGTCATCTATTTTTATCTGTATTATTGTTTACAATTGCACTACGGGTCTCCCAGAGAGCCTTCTGGCTATGGGGCAGCATACAAATGCAATAAATAAATAATATTTTTTTAAAAAAAATACTGTATATTGCTCTTCCCAGACTTCACCTTCTGTTACATGCTGTATTGTATGAGCCAGGGTAGCTCTACTCTCAAGCTGAAGATAGGAGCAATGAATAATTTTATATCCAGAGAGGTGTGCATTCCACATTATCTTCTACTGTTTACCTAAAATAGCCAACATGCTATTCCCTTTTTGTGTAACAGCAAAGGCAAAAATATCACACTGATTCTCTTGGAAAACTATAAAGAATTCCTCCATATTCTCTTGAGTCACTATAGATTATTCAGAACTGAATAATCATTTGCTTCTTGCAAAGGATAATATATTAAAGGGAAATGGCTATTTTGAAACGGTCTACCTTATGTCATAACTTAACATCCCTGATAACCACGATGGGGTGGTCACTGACCTCGAGCCAGTCATCCTGGAATGTGAAGTCAAATGGGTCTTAGGAAGTCTGAGCAACAACAAAGCTAGTGGAGGCGACAGTATTCCAGCTGAGCTATTCAAAATCTTAAAAGACGATGCAGTAAAAGTGCTACACTCAATATGCCAGAAAATTTGGAAAACTCAACAGTGGCCACAGGACTGGAAAAGGTCAGTTTACATTCCGATCCCAAAGAAGGACAATGCCAAACAATGTTCAAACTACTGCACCATTGCACTCATTTCACATGCTAGCAAAGTTATGCTCAAAATCCTACAAGCTAGGCTCCAGCAGTATGTGGACCGAGAACTACCAGAAGTACAGGCAGAATTTCGAAGAGGGAGAGGAACTAGAGATCAAATTGCCAAACATATGCTGGATCATGGAGAAAGCTAGGGAGTTCCAGAAAAACATCTACTTTTGCTTCATTGACTATGCTAAAGCCTTTGATTGTGTGGATCACAACCAATTGTGGCAGGTTCTTAAAGAGGTGGAAGTACCTGACCATCTTATTTGTCTCTTGAGAAATCTATATGCGGATCAAGAAGCAACAGTGAGAACTGGACACGGAACCACTGATTGGTTCAAAATTGAGAAAGGAGTTCGGCAAGGCTGTATACTGTCGCCCTGCCTATTTAACTTATATGCAGAGCACATCATGAGCAAGGTGGGCCTAGATGAATCACCAGTTGGAACTAAGATTGCTGGGAGAAATATCAACAACCTCAGATATGCAGATGATACCACTCTCATGGCAGAAAGTGAAGAGGAACTAAAGAGCCTCTTGATGCAGATGAAGGAAGAGAGTGCAAAAGTTGGCTTGAAACTCAACATTAGGAAAACTAAGATCATGGCATCCGGTCCTCTCACTTCCTGGCAAATAGATGTGCAAGAAATGGAGGCAGTGACAGATTTTATCTTCCTGGGCTCCAAGATCACCGCAGATAGGAACTGCAACCAAGAAATTAAAAGTTGCTTGCCCCTGGGGAGGAAAGCTATGACAAATCTAGACAGCATACTGAAAAGCAGAGACATCACCCTGCCAACAAAAGTGTGTATAGTCAAGGCTATGGTTTTCCCAGTTGCAATGTATGGCTGTGAAAGTTGGACCATAAGGAAGGCTGAGTGCCGAAGAATTGAGGCCTTTGAATTGTGGTGCTGGTGGAGACTCCTGTGAGTCCCTTGGACTGCAAGGGGATCAAACTGGTCAGCCCTAGAGGAGATCAACCCTGACTGCTCTTTAGAAGGCCAGATACTGAAGATGAAACTCAAATACTTTGGCCACCTAATGAGAAGAAAGAGTCTAATGCTGGGAACAGTACATGTCAAAGAAGACGGGGACGGCAGAGGATGTGGTGGCTAGATGGAGTCACTGAAGCAGTTGGTGTGAGCTTAAGTGGACTCCAGGGGATAGTGGAGGACAGGAAGGCCTGGAGGAATGTTGTCCATCGGATCGCGATGGGTCGGACATGACTTCGCGACTAACAACAACAACCTTATGTCATAAACCTATTATGATGAAATTACTACAGGGAACAGGCAGCTGCTGTATGACAGACAGATGTGATGTTGCACCTTGGAGATGCACAGACATTTGTTGGATGAATTCAATTTTTATGTTCCATGCCCTTAAAGAGACTGTGTATCATTTCGCCTCAGATCCACCCTGTGAAATAGGGAGAGAGAGAGCTGATTTGTCTGGGACTACCCAATGGACTTTATAACCAGAGCATGAATTACCTTCATTCTTGACCATTATACTACATGGCTTAATTTTGACGGTCATCATCATCTCTGTATACTCATTTATTGTGCCTTGCCACCTTTGAGCAAAAACAGTCACATTTCCGTTCTGTCATCAAGCAGAAAATAAGACACAAAGAATCAGACTGTAGATAGCAGTCATGCTGTAAACTAACTGTCAACACTCATCCTGCTAACAGATTTGCTGCCTATGGTGGGTTTTATTTTTTGCCTTTGCTTTCTCCTAGCAATTATTTTACCCTGCATGTGGCCCACAAAAAGTCCCAAATGTGAGTATATATTTGTCTTTGCTCTCAACTACTTCAATATTCAGTGGAAAGTTATGGCTATCTAATTGCAGACTAAACTTCTAGCCTACTTTATTTGCATGGAAATAGATTACAAATTTAACATTAAGGACTAATCAGAGGTTATAAATGCTACTATAAGAAGAGAAAGAACACACTATGTTTTATATAGGATTGTCCATAGCTGGCTTTACCATTCCTAATTATTGGTAGCATCACTCATATGTTTACTATGTTTCCAACAAGTCTTTATCATATTAATAAAGCCATTTTATTGAAAACTGCCAGAAATCTGTGCTTTGGGCATGTGCTTATATGTGTGATGGAGAGCGCTATATGTGCCAAAGGCCCTACAGGTCTTGGATTCTCACAAACACTGTAGTGACATGGATAAAAATGCCAGTCTTATGTGGTGAATATTGCATTTTTTTTCTGGTATTTTGGGTATATAGTTAAATGCAATCCTATACAAGTTAGTACAGAAAATAAGTTCCAATCTGTTCAACAGGACTCAGGTAAGTGACCACAGCCTTGCCGCCTAAGCTCAAACTATTGTGAACAAAAAGAAAATGTTCCCTGTTAAACCAAAATAAGATGATGTGGTTATAAGATGATGTAGTTTGAGGCAAGGATTCTCAGGGTTGCCTCTCTGGGTTGTGCTTGGATACATGCCTGTTGCATGTTGTTTAATTAGAGTTACTCTTGCCAGCTGAGCCGCTGTGCATTTTTCATGTATAAAGCGCTTGTTAAGGAAGCACTAACCGTTCTATACGGCCACAGTTCTTTCATTTAAATTCACAATCAAACTCAATTTTCAGCTCATTTAAGTTTCAGCACTACATCCTATTAAATTCAACAGGGCTTACAATTATGCATATGGTTAAACCAACAGGTTACAATCCTCTGGATACTTTCTCAGAAGTAACTCTCTCTTGTGGCCTCTCTCCCAGTGTCAAAACAGGTATTAACATACATATTTTGTTCCTTTATTACTCTAGCATTCCGTGCAAGTAAGTGTTAATCTGCCCTATTCCCAGCATGGTGGCTCCAATCCAGATCAGTGCCTTTGTGTTTGCAAAACAGTGATCCTCAAAAGCAAATGGATCACTGTTTGGCACTACACATGGTGGTGGGGATTGCAGCATCAGAGGAGGGAAGGGTTAAACCCTACAAGGGCTGTGCTTGCAATAGCATTTTGAAAAATAGAAGATGCAGCTTCTTATTTTATTTATTCATTCATTCAAAATTTTATATCCCGTCCTTTACAGTGTTTCAGGGTGGTGATCACATAAATAAATATGGGAGCTTCTTGCTCCCTTTTCAATGGAATTTCTATTTTGACAAACAGCAGCCTTAAGGTACATTTCTATATTCACCTACTTGGGATTAAGTCCCACCCAGCTGAACCCCTTGATCTTCTCCACCCTAATGCAAGTAAAAGAGGTAAAGGGATATATGAAAACAACATGTTGCCTGTGCCTTAATTTTTTAAAAAATTCTTCGGATCATTTTGGTTACTTTGTAGCCATTCCTACTCTATTTTTTTCTTGAGATATAGCAACCAAAACAATGCATATTACTTTTAAGATTAGACTGCTGGCCTAATTTTTACTCCTCCTAATTTGTACTAATTTTTACCACAGCCTTGTGCACCATCTAAGAATTCTAGTGAATTCAAAAGTCAGCACACTCTTTTGCAGAATAAGGGAAAATCTGAAACGTATTGTGGAATTAGTATTCCAAGGGTGATCTCATATAAAATTGCACACAGATCTTAAGATA